CTATTATCCATTATTATTGATCTTGCCTCTTTTATGGGTCGATTCTTATGAATCTATTTATCTGTAGCATACATTAGCCTTCGAATACTTACTTTACTTAGGCGACCCCTTGTCACTTTTCTCTCTTTCGCCCTCCATTCGTGCCTCTTCACATTCTGCAGCACTGCTGGTCACAGCTGACCTCCAGCTGGAGCACTCACAAGCCAGGGCTTCCCAGTTCTCAGTGTCTATGCCAGAGTTTTTAAGGTTGGCTTTGAGGCCATCTTTCAGTCTCTTTTCCTGTCCACCAATATTCCTTTTTATGTTCTTGAGTTTCGAGTAGAGCAGCTGCTTTCGGAGACGGTGGTTGGGCATCCGGACAATGTGGCCAGTCCAGCAGAGTTGATGGCGGAGGACCATCGCTTCAATGCTGGTGGTCTTTGCTTCTTAGCACGCTGATGTTTGTCCGCTCGTCTTCCCAAGAGATTTGCAGGATTTTTCTGAGGCAACAGACAACGTGTTGATGGTGGAGGACCATCATAGAATCAAAGAGTTGGAAGAGACCTCCTGGGCCATCCAGTCCAACCCCATTCTGCCAAGAAGCAGGAATATTGCATTCAAATCACCCTTGACAGATGGCCATCCAGCCTCTGTTTAAAAGCTTCCAAAGAAGGAGCCTCCACCACACTCCGGGGCAGAGAGTTCCACTGCTGAATGGCTCTCACAGTCAGGAAGTTCTTCCTCATGTTCAGATGGAATCTCCTCTCTTGTAGTTTGAAGCCATTGTTCCGCGTCCTAGTCTCCAAGGAAGCAGAAAACAAGCTTGCTCCCTCCTCCCTGTGGCTTCCTCTCACATATTTATACATGGTTATCATATCCCCTCTCAGCTGTCTCTTCGTCAGGCTAAACATGGCCAGCTCCTTAAGCCGCTCCTCATAGGGCTTGTTCTCCAGACCCTTGATCATTTTAGTCGCCCTCCTCTGGACACATTCCAGCTTGTCAATATCTCTCTTGAATTGTGGTGCCCAGAATTGGACACAATATTCCAGATGTGGTCTAACCAAAGCGGAATAGAGCATGGGGAGCATGACTTCCCTAGATCTAGGCACTATGCTCCTATTGATGCAGGCCAAAAATCAGGCTTCCATGCTGGCGGTCTTTGCTTCTTCCAGCATGCTGACGTTTCCCCGCCTGTCTTCCCAAGACATTTGCAGGATTTTCCAGAGGCAGCGTTGATGGAATCGTTCCAGGATTTGAGTGTAACGTCTGTAGACAGTCCACGTCTCGCAGGCATATAGCAGGGTTGGGAGGACAATAGCTTTAGAGACAAGCCCCTTGGTCTCCCTACGGATGTCCTGGTCCTCAAACACTCTCTGCTTCATTCGGGAAAACGCTGCACTCGCAGAGCTCAGGCGGTGTTGTATTTCGGTGTTGATGTTGACTTTGGGGGAGAGGTGGCTGCCAAGGGAGCGGAAATGGTCAACATTTCCTAATGTGACACCATTAAGCTGTATTTCTGGCACTGGAGAGGGATTGGCCGGCGACTCCTGGAAGAGCACTTTGGTTTTCCCGATGTTCAATGACAGGCCAAGCTTCTCGTATGCTTCTGAGAAGGTGTTTAGAGTGGCCTGTAGATCTTCTTCTGAATGTGCACAGATGACGTTGTCATCAGCATACTGGAGTTCTATAACTCCAGTAGAAATCTATAACTTCGAATATCTTTCACTGAATGGCTATTTCCCATTATTTCCCATTCTTATTTTCCACAGTTTCCCTCACAAAAACCAGCAAGAAAGGCCTGGAAGTGAAGCAGAACTTGATTGGAGAGGTAAGGCCTAACTGGGAGCATCTGCACTGGGGAATTAACCCATTTTAGTACCGCTTTAACTATATGGAATCCTGCTAAGGCAGAGAAGGCTCTGTATGTGTGTATATTATTTTATTTCCCTATTATTAAGACAATTATTATCATAATAATATTGAAATGGTATTATTATATTATTATTTCCCTATTATTAAGAAAATAATAATAATAATGTAATAATGTAATAATAATGTAATTATATTAAAGTAATGTAATATAATTGACTGGCTGCCCTGACACAAGAAATAAAAATAATTAAGAAAATAATAATAATAATCTTAATAATAGGGAAATCTATAATAATTTAACATATTAGGACTAAACTGGCATTGAATGCCATTGTTCTTATTGATTGATTGATTATTTTTCTTATTTATACTTATTTATCTATTTTATTATTTTTAATTTCTTCTTGATTTATGTTATTTATTTGTTCTTGTTTTTATTTATCCTTATTGATTTACTTTACTTATAATAATTATTCTTGATTCACTTTATTTTTATGTATTTTTCTTATTTATTTGTCTGCTTTATTATTTAATCAATTCATTCTTATTTATTTATGTTGTTATTTTTATTTACCCTTATTGATTTCTTTCATTTATTATTTATAATATTATAATGTAATACAATATAATACTACTAATAATAATACAATATTATAATTATAATTATATATTTACATTACATGTAATATTACAATATAATGGTATACTGCAATATAGTAATACAGAATACTGATATTGTACTATGCTAATAATATAATATATTGTATGGAAATATGTATTGTAAGCCGCTCTGAATGCCATAAATAAATAATAAATAAAATAAATGATTAATCTTGATTTATTTTTATATTTTTTCTTATTTATACTTATCTATTTTATTTTTAATTTTTTCTTCTTATTGATTTACATTATGTATTCTTTCTATTCTTAATTATTTGCTTTATAATTATTTTATGTATTTTCTTTAATTTAGTGATTTTCTTATTTATTCTTATTTATCTATTCTTTGTTATTCTTTTGATTCTTATTAATCTTATTTATTTACTCTTTATTATTTTTATTTATTGGTTCTTATTCTTATTGATCAATTTCTTATTTATTCATATTTGTTTTATTTTTTTATTTATTGATTCGTATGATTTTTATTTATCTATTTTTATTTATTGAATCTTATGATTCTTATTTATCTACTCATTTATTGATTCTTATTCTTATTTACTTGCTTTTTTATTTACTGACTGTTTCTTATTGATCTACTGCAATATTTTTTCGTATCCTGCCTGTTTCCTTCCCCCTTTCCCTTCATGCTAATTCTCCAAAATCCCTTCTCCTTCAGTTGCGGAAATGTGTGGAGACCTACAAGCGCCTCTTCCTCTTCTCTGTGGCCAACATGAGGAACAACAAGCTCAAGGACGTCCGCAACGCCTGGAAGCACAGCAGGTAAAGACGGGCATCGTTCTGGGTTTCTAGCTTGCCTGTCGTCCACTTGATTCTCCCAACAACTCTTAAAGGTAGGCCACTGGTCTTGATCTTCCATTGGTCTTCAATTGGTATTCCATTGGTGTTGAGCTTCCACTGGTCTTGGCCTTCTGTTGGTCTTCCATTGGTTCTCCATTGGTCTTGGCCTTCCATAGGTCTTGAGCTTCCACTGCTCTTGGCCTTCCATTGGTCTTGATGTTCCTTTTTCCATTGGTCTTAGCTTTCCATTGGTCTTTCATTGATTCTCCATTGGTTTTGGCCTTCCATAGGTCTTCACCTTCCATTGGTCTTGAGTTTCCACTGGTCTTGATGTTCCTTTGGTCTTGGTCTTTCATTGGGCTTGCTTTTCCATTGGTGTTCCTTTGGTCTTGGCCTTCCGTTGGTCTTCTACATTCCGTTGGTGGTTCTACATTGGTTTTGGCCTTCCATAGGTCTTGGCCTTCCATTGGTCTTGATCTTCCATTGGTCTTCAATTGGTATTCCATTGGTCTTGAGCTTCCACTAGTCTTGGCCTTCCATTGGTCTTGATGTTCCTTTGGTTTTCCATTGGGCTTGGACTTCTGTTGGTCTTCCATTGGTTCTCCATTGGTCTTGGCCTTCCATAGGTCTTGAGCTTCCACTGCTCTTGGCCTTCCATTGGTCTTGATGTTCCTTTTTCCATTGGTCTTAGCCTTCCATTGGTCTTTCATTGATTCTCCATTGGTTTTGGCCTTCCATTGGTCTTCGCCTCCCATTGGTCTTGAGTTTCCACTGGTTTTGATGTTCCTTTGGTCTTGGTCTTTCATTGGGCTTGCTTTTCCATTGGTGTTCCATTGGGCTTCAATTTGTATTCCTTTGGCCTTGGCCTTCCGTTGGTCTTCAATTGGTATTCCATTGGTCTTGAGCTTCCACTGGTCTTGGCCTTCCATTGGTCTTGATGTTCCTTTGTTTTTTCCCATTGGTCTTAGCCTTCTGTTGGTCTTCAGTTGGTCTTCCATTGGGCTTGATCTTCCATTGGGCTTGATGTTCCTTTGGTTTTCCATTGGGCTTCAATTGGCATTCTATTGGTCTTGGCCTTCCACTGGGCTTGATCTTCCATTGGCCTAGATGTTCCTTTGGTTTTCCATTGGTCTTAGCCTTCCGTTGGTATTCCATTGATCTTGGCCTTTCATTGGTCTTGATGTTCCTTTAGTTTTCCATTGGTCTTGGCCTTCCATTGGGCTTGATCTTCCATCTGGTCTTGCTTTTCCATTGGTGTTTCGTTGGTCTTGGCCTTCCATTGGTTTTCCTATTGGTCTTTGCCTTCTATTGAGCTTGATCTCCCATTGGTCTTGACCTTTCATTGGTTTTCCATTGGTCTTGATCTTCCACCTTCTTTGTTCCAGGATCTTCTTTGGGAAAAACAAAGTGATGATGGTGGCGTTGGGACGGAGCCCAGCGGACGAATACAGAGATAACCTGCACCAGGTGAGGCCTGCCTTTCTCCCCCCGCCGGACATAGAGGAACCCCCCCCCCCTGCTTTCCATCCACCTTCCATTGGCTCTCCCTCTTTTCCAGGTCAGCAAACACCTTCGGGGAGAAGTGGGCCTCCTCTTCACCAACCGCACCAAAGAGGAAGTCATCGAGTGAGTTTCCCTCTTTTGTCTCCTTCTTAGGCCTGATTTGGATTGACTCGGGACTCGTCGACTTTTAGCAGCGCCTTCCCAGGGGTGGACTAGAAGGCCTTTAGGGGTCCCATGCATAACCCTGGACCCATCTGTACTAGAGAATGAATGCAATGATGATGATGATGATAATAATAATAATAATAATAATAATAATAATAATAATGAGTCTGCCTGGCCTGGGGCTGCTGTGCATTGCAGTCCATTGTGTTTAATGGCCGCCTTCCTTCCTTCCTTCCCTCCGCAGCTGGTTCTCGAAATTCCAGGAGTCGGACTTTGCCCGTTCGGGGAACCGGGCCACCTTCGCGGTCAGCCTGGACCAGGGCCCCTTGGAGACCTTCCCGCACTCCATGGAGCCCCAGCTGCGCCAACTGGGCCTCCCTACCGCCCTCAAGAAAGGTGCGTGGCCCCTTTAAGAGGCCGAGCCCTCCTCCCAAAGGAGGCCCACCTCCCTTCTCACGTTTCTCGCCTTCCACTTGCAGGAGTTGTGACCCTCCTCACCGACCACGACATCTGCAAAGAAGGGGACGTCTTGACCCCGGAACAGGCACGGATCCTGGTGAGCAGCCCCCCCCCCCCCCCAAAAAAAAGACCCATCATTTGGGATCCGGATGCCCCAAAACACAAGGCTATTTATTTCTGGAGTGTCAACCCATTGAAACTCAGGCAGAGAAAGCTCTATTTATTATATTATATTATTTATTTATAATAGTAATATATTTTTTATTTGTTTATAATATATTTACTTGTTATATTATTTATTATTTTATTTTATTTATTATTTTTTACTTATAATCATATATTTTACTTATAATCATATATTTATAAATCTGGCTACCAGTATTAAAAAAACTCTAAAATTACAACAGCACAGCAACAGAGAGGAAACAGGCAGGGACATCTAATCACCTTTCAAGAAGAGTTTGCTCCAGGCACAGTCAGCCCATTGTATGCTAATCAGGGTGGTCAGTTGAAAGATTCACACCTAGCCCAACTTACAAAGCCCTTTGTTCTCACCCTGGTCATTCCACAGATATATAAACCCCCTTTTTTCCCAGTCCAACAGACCTCACTACCTCTGAGGATGCTTGCCATAGATGCAAGCGAAATGTCAGGAGAGAATGCCTCTAGAACATGGCCATATAGCCCGAAAAAACCTACAACAACCCAATCATATATTTATTATTTATTATTATGTTTATTTATGATAATATATGTTTATTATTTATTATATATTTATTAATATACTAGCTTGGGGCATTTGTCAGCTGGGCTATTTGTTGGCTGGGTTCAGTGCTCTCTGGAGAACAGTGAACTACAACTCTCATATGTCAAAGTCAATCACCCCCACACCCCACCCGTATGCGCAGTTGGCCATGTTGGGTTTGTGTGCCAAGTTTGGTCCAGATCTGACTTCAGCTGGGTTTAGTCTTCTATAGATAAAAGTGAACTACAAGTCCCCAAATCAAGGTCAGTTCCCAGAAACCCCTGCAGTACGTTCAGTTGGGTCACAGGGCTTCTCTGTACCATGTTTGTTCCTGATCTGTTGTCGGTTCTCTGAATGCAGATGAATGATGACTCCCATAAATCAGGTCAATTTCCCTCAAATATCTCCAGTATGTTCTGTCATGGGGAGTCTGTGTGCCAAGTTTGGTCCAGATCCGTCATTCGTGGGGGTTGCAGTGGTCTGTGGGAGCTGAATTGGGTGAAGATACTACATATCCCATCATTGGTGGTCCCCCCTAAAGCACCCCAGGATGTGAAGTGGGTCGCGGGGAGATCTGTGTGCCAAATTTGGTCCAGATCCGTCATTTGTGGGGGTCGCAGTGGTCTGGAAGTTGGAGCGGAATTGGGTCAATGTACTGCAAATCCCATCATCCGTGGTCCATCTTCCCCTGAACCACATTAGGATGTGGTGGGTCATTGGGAGAGGGGGGGAGGTCTGTGTGACTAGTTTGGTCCAGATCCGTCATTTGTGAGGGTCTCAGTGGTCTGGAAGTTGGAGTGGAATTGGGTCAATGTACTGCAAATCCCATCATCCGTGGTCTATCCTCCCCTGAAGCACACTAGGATGTGAAGTGGGTCATTGGGGAGGGGGGTCTGTGACTAGTTTGGTCCAGATCCGTTATTTGTGAGGGTCGCAGAGGTCTGTGGAAGATGGAACTGAATTCGGTGAATGTACTGCAAATCCCATCATTGGTGGTCCATCCTCTCCAAACCACACTAGGATGTGAAGTGAGTTATGGGGGGGAGGCGGGGTCTGTATGCCAAATTTGGTCCAGATCCGTCATTTGTGAGGGTCTCAGTGGCCTGGAAGTTGGAGTGGAATTGGGTCAATGTACTGCAAATCCCATCATCCATGGTCCATCTTCCCCCAAACCACACTAGGATGTGAAGTGAGTTATGGGGGGGGGGGGGGGGGGGGTCTGTATGCCAATTTTGGTCCAGATCCGTCATTCATGGGGGTCGCAGTGGTCTGGAAGTTGGAACTGAATTGGGTGAGTGTACTGCAAATCCCATCATTCCCTGAACCAGACCAGGATGTGAAGTGGATCATGGGGGGGGGGGGTGTCTGTGTGCCTAGTTTGACCCAGATCCGTCATTTGTGGGGGTCGCAGTGGGAGCCAATCAGAAAGTGGGATATTTATTATTATTATTAGCAGTTATTAGGCTTCCCTGCCGCCGAAAGTGGCGTCAGACTGCATTCATTCTGCAGTGTAGACGCACCCACTGACGCTCCTTTTTTCCTTGATCCCAGAAACTCTTTGGCTACAAAATGGCGGACTTCCGAGTGACGATCCGGAGCGTCTGGAGCGCCGAGACGGGAGAGTTCGAAGTCTTAGTTGAAGGCGATGAAGATGCTGCGGAAGAGATGGAGGAGGAAGAGGAGGAGGTGGAGGAGGAAGAAGGCGAGTGACCCCAAAAAAGAGGGGGACAGGCATCCCATGGACTCTTCGCTTCCCCAAAAGGACCATCGACAACAAGGGGAAACCTTCCTTTCTGTGTGAATCCGGGACTGAGCTGGGCGTATTTATCAGAGGAGATGGATTATTGTATAGCTATACATGCCACTGTATATGTAAAAAGTTTATAAAACTCTGGACTTGCCGTCTTGTGGGTAGTTATTAGGGTGTGTGTATGTGTGTGTGTGTGTGTGTATATATATATATATATACACACACACACACACACACACATACGTATATACAGACAAGTGTATATATGTATACAGCATATATATGAAAATGTATATATATATATGAATACAGCACATACATAAAGATGCATATATACATATTATGAATATAGCATGTACATAAAATGTATATATACATAATATGAATACAGCCCGTATATAAAGATGGGTGTGTGTGTATGTGTATATATATATAGAGAGAGGCGGGGGGAAGAAAATGGTCACACATACACACATGTATATACACACACACACACACACATATATATATATATATATATATATATACACACACACACACACACACACACACATGTGTGTATGTATACACATTTATATACATACACACACATATATACAGATGCACACATATATATACATACACATTTATATACATATATACATATACATTTATATACACATTTATATTCATATATACAGACACACACACATATATACATTTATATACACACACACATATACAGTATATACACACTTTTATATACATACTAGTTTGGGGACCCGGCGCTGCCCGGGTTATTAGAGAAAGTGGGTAATGGTGGTTCTGTATGCCAAGTTTGGTCTTTATTGGTCATTGGATAACGGTTGCATTGTTTTCAGGAAGTGAGTGAAAGTACTGCAAGTCCCATCATCCATGGTCCACCCTCCTCCAAACTGCAGCAGGATGTAGAGTGGGTCATGGGGACTCTGTGTGCTGAGTTTGGTCATGATCAGTCATTGGATGAGGGTGGCAGTGGTTTCAGTAAGTGGGTGAAGGTACTGCAAGTCCCATCATCCATGGTCCACCCTCCTCCAAACAGCAGCAGGATGTAGAGTGGGTCATGGGGGCTCTGTGTGCCAATTTGGTCTTAATCAGTCATTGGATGAGGGTGGCAGTGGTTTCAGTAAGTGAGTGAAGGTACTGCAAGTCCCATCATCCATGGTCCACCCTCCTTCAAATAGCAGCAGGATGTAGAGTGGGCCATGAGTACTCTGTGTGCCAAGTTTGGGCCTGGTCTGTGACTTGTAAGGGCTACAATATTCTGTGGGAAGTGACTCAGGTGAAGGTACTGCAAATCCCATCATTCGTGACCCATCCTGCCCTAACCGCACCAGGTTTTAAAGTGGGCCATTGGGCCTCTGTGTGCCAAGTTTGGTCCTGATTCATCATTGGTGTGGACCACAGTGCTCTAAGGTAGTGAGTTCAAGTACTGCAAGTCCCATCATCCATGGTCTATCCTTGCTCAAACTGCACCAGGATGTTGAGTGGGTCTTGTGGGGCGGGGTCCATGTGCCAGGTTTGGTCTTGTTCTGTCATTGTTGGGGGGCCACAAGGTGTTTTGGACTTCAACTCCCACCATTCCTGACAGCTTCAGGCCCCTTTCCTATTCCTTATGCTACCTTGGAATGTTGAGGCTGGCCAATCAGAGACCATATGCAAATTGTACCACAGTGGCAACCAATCAGAAAGCTGCCACATACACCTCCTGCCGCACACATACAAACACTGACTTTTATTATATAGATATACACACACATACTCAGGAAAACACTGCTTTTTTCAAACATTAAACATTTGAGACGTCATTTTATTCCTATTTGCAATCTCTGTTTCAACACAAACTATTTAGTATTTGATCAAAGGAGGACAAAATTTAAATCTCAGCCCAGTGTGGGGCCTTGATTCCCTTTCCCATCATCCCCAGTACAGAAAAAGTGCGTGATGGTAAGACCACCACCACTAATTGATTTAAGGCAAAACTGGTGCAGGATCTGGAAGCTCAAAGGGAGGGCAATCGGAGAGTGTGTGGCTCATGGGACCTGCGGTCAGCGGAAGTAGTTGGGGCAGTCGTGGGTGGAGAGGCGCCAGGCTTGCTCAAAGGCCGCCACCACTTTGGGCTCCAGGGGCCCTTCCTCGGCGTATTGTAGGTTCTGCTGCAGCTGCTCCAGGCTGGACGCCCCCAGGATCACCGCGTCCCCCAGGCCGCCCTGCAAGCAAGAGGAGCCAGTACAAATCCCATCATCCTTGGGTGCATGGCCATCCGTTAGGAGGGCTTCAGTTGTGTATCACGGCATATGGGGTTGGACTGGATGGCTTTTGGGGGTCCCTTCCAACTCTAGGATTCTACTATTATTATTACTATTATTATTACTACTACTACTACTACTACTAGCAGAACTTGGGTGGCCATCCATCGGGAGGGCTTCAATTGTGTATCACAGCCTATGGGGTTGGTCTGGGTGGCCTTTGGAGTTCTCCTCCAACTCTAGAATTCTAATATTAGTACTACTACTACTAGCAGAGCTTGGGTGACCATCTGTCGAGAGAGCTTCGATTGTATCATGGCATATGGGGTTGGACTGGATGGCCTTTGGGGTTCTCCTCCAACTCTAGGATTCTAATACTACTACTACTAGCAGAGCTTGGGTGACCATCTGTTGGGAGGGCTTCGATTGTGGATCATGGCATGTGGGGTTAGACTGGATGGCCTTTGGGGGTCCCTTCCAACTCTAGGATTCTATTATCATTATTATAATTATTATTATTATTATTACTACTACTACTAGCAGAGCTTGGGTGGCCATCTGTCAGGAGGGCTTCGATTGTGGATCACGGCATATGAGGTTGGACTGGATGGCCTTTGGGGTTCTCCTCCAACTCTAGGATTTTTATTATTATTATTATTATTATTATTATTATTATTACTGCTACTACTACTACTACTAGCAGAACTTGGGTGACCATCTGTCGAGAGGGCTTCGATTGTGGATCACGGCATATGGGGTTGGACTGGATGGCCTTTGGGGTTGTCCTCCAATTCTAGAATTCTATTATTTCTGCTACTACTACTACTACTACTACTACTAGCAGAGCTTGGGTGGCCATCTGTCGGGAGGGCTTTGATTGTGTATCACGGCCTATGGGGTTGGACTGGATGGCCTTTGGGGTTCTCTTCCAACTCTAGGATTCTATTATTATTATTATTATTATTATTATTATTATTATTACTGCTACTACTACTACTAGCAGAGCTTGGGTGACCATCTGTCGGGAGGGCTTCAATTGTGTATCACGGCAAATGGGGTTGGRCTGGATGGCCTTTGGGGTTCTCCTCCAACTCTAGGATTCTATTATTATTATTACTACTACTACTATTACTACTAGCAGAGCTTGGGTGGCCGTCTGTCGGGAGGGCTTCGATTGTGTATCACAGCATATGGGGATGGACTGGATGGCCTTTGGGGTTCTCCTCCAACTCTAGGATTCAATTATTATTACTACTACTACTACTACTAGCAGAGCTTGGGTGGCCATCTGTCGGGAGGGCTTTGATTGTGTCTCACAGCATATGGAGTTGGACTGGATGGCCTTTGGGGGTCCCTTCCAACTCTAGGATTCTATTATTATTATTATTATAATTATTATTATTATTATTACTACTACTACTACTAGCAGAGCTTGGGTGGCCATCTGTCGGGAGGGCTTCGATTGTGTATCACTGCATATGGGGTTGGACTGGATGTTCTTTTGGGTTCTCYTCCAACTCTAGGATTCWATTATTATTATTATTATTATTATTATTATTATTATTATTATTGCTACTACTGCTGCTGCTACTACTACTACTAGMAGAGCTTGGATTGCCATCTGTTGGRAGGGCTTYGATTGTGTATCACGGCTTATGGGGTTGGACTGGATGGCCTCTGGGGGTCTCACCTGCAGCTGGGAGTGGTGGTAGATCCAGCGGAGGGCGGCCGAGGTGAGGCTGGGGGTCTCCTCCGAGGCGTAGGCTTCGCGGAGGGCGCCTTCCACCAGGGCGATCCCCTCAAAGTGGTGCTTCTTCCAATACCTGGAGGGAGGAAAGCCAGCTCCCTCAGGCCACTCCCTTGGCCTCGTCTGCCCACGCCACCCGTCCGAAACTGACCACGGACCCACCTGTCCCGGTAGGTCTGGGCCCAGTCGTTACCAAAGAAGCGCCCTTCCGGCTGCAGAGACAAGTCCTCGTACTTGTACTTCCCGGTCAGGAGGCCTCCTGCGGTGGGAAAACGAGGAAGGGTTAGGATCAGGCCAAATCCCTCTGGCCATTTCCCAAACCAAGACGTCATGAGCTCCCGTCTGAACTGCTGCGTGTGGGTATCCCATATCAAGAAAGCCTCCTCCATCGGCCTTGATTATAATTATGTCATTTATTACATTATTATTATTACACATTCATTACATTGTTTACATTATTATTATGTTATTCTTTGCATTGATTATAATTGTTATTTATTACATTATTATTACACATTTATTACACTGTTTACATTCTCATTATTATTGTTATACGTTATTCTTTGCATTGATTGTTATTTATTACATTATTACACATTTATTAAATTGTTTATATAATTATGTTTGTAATGTTCTTCTTTGCATTGATTATAATTGTTATTTATTACATTATTATTACACATTTATTACACTGTTTACATTCTCATTATTATTGTTATACGTTATTCTTCGCATTGATTATAATTATGTCATTTATTACACATTTATTACATTGTTTATATTATGTTATTCTTTGCATTGATTATAAATATTTATTACATTATTATTACACATTATGTATTTCATTGTTTATATTATTATTATTATTATTATATGTTATTCTTTGCATTGATTATAATTATATCATTAATTTCATTATTATTACATATTTATTACATTGTTTACATTATGTTATATGTTATTCTTTACATTGATTATAATTGTCATTTATTACATTATTATTACACATTTATTAAATTGTTAATATTATTATTTTTGCAATGTTATTCCTTGCATTGATTGTAGTTATATTTATTACATTATTATTACACATTTATTACATTGTTTATATTATTATTATTATTATATGTTATTCTTTGCATAGATTATAAATATTTATTACATTATTACACATTATATTATTATTATATGTTATTATTATTATTACATTATTTATTATACTGTTATATTATTATATGTTATTATTATTATACATTATTTATTATACTGTTGTATTATTATGTTATTATTATTACACATTATTTATTATACTGTTATATTATTATTATTATATATTATTATTATTATTACACATTATTTATTATACCGTTATATTATTATTATTATATATTATTGCACATTATTTATTATACTGTTGTATTATTATTATATGTTATTATTTATTACATTGTTATATTATTATTATATGATATTATCACACATTATTTATTATACTGTTATATTATTATGTTTTAGTATTATTATTACATATTATTTATTATACTGTTATTATTATATGTTGTTATTATTATTATACATTATTTATTATACTGTTGTATTATTATATRTTATTATTATTACACATTATTTATTATACTGTTATATTATTATTATATGTTATTATTATTATTACACATTATTTATTATACTGTTATATTGTTATTACATATTATTATTATTACACATTATTTATTATACTGTTATATTGTTATTATATATATTATTACACGTTATTTATTATACTGTTGTATTATTATTATATGTTATCATTATTATTACACATTATTATACTGTTATATTATTATTTATTATTATTATTATTATTACACGTTATTTATTATACTGTTGTATTATTATTATATGTTATTATTATTATTACACATTATATTGTTATATTATTATTATATATGATTATTATTACACATTATTTATTATACTGTTATATTATTATTATCTGTTGTTGTTGTTATTATCATTTCAAGATGGGTTCCCAAACTCCGAAGGTATCATAGGTCGAACGGACATCCCCCAATGCGTTATGCGGCCATGGAGGTCGCATGTCAGGCGCCAAGGGGCCCTTGAGGGCATCTAGACGGTCCCCCGGTCCCCTTGCGTTGGGAGGCTGCCGGCCTACCTGCCAGGGGGTTGTAGGCGTAGAAGCGGATCCCAAAGTGCCGGAGGCAGGGCAGCAGCTCAGTCTCGACTTGGCGGGTGGTGGCGTTGTACATGCCCTTGCGGGGAAAGGAAGGAAGGGAGGAAAGGAGGTTGCCAACGGACCGGCCCCAAGGGCAGCCCCACCGGCCGGCTCTCTTTCCGGGCTTGCTCTCTCTCTCACCTGATAGACGGAAGGAAGGACCCAGTGGTTGGCTTTGCAAAGCGTGTAGATCTCGGCCACTTGCCAAGCGGCGTAGTTGGAGAGGCCCAGCTCCTGGAACTTGCCCTGAAAGAAGGAAGGAAGGAAGGAAGGAAGGAAGGAAGGAAAAGAAAGAGTAGAAGGGAGGAAGAGAAGGGAAGGAAAAGGATGACGACAATGCTATTTCCCATTCCCTATGGGTGCCATGGGTTCACTGAGTCTACGGTGTTGTTGATGTTGTTGTTATGACATCTACCATTCATTGTTGTTATTATTATTATTATTATTATTATTATTATTATTATTATTATTATGCCCTCTACCATTCCTTATGGGTTCACAGAGAGTCTACTGTATTGTGGTTGTTATGGATCTTCCATTCCTATTATTATTATTATTATTATTATTATTATTATTATTATTATTATCATCTATGACTTATGGATTCACTGAGTCTACTGTGTTGTTGTTGTCGCTATGACATCTACAATTCCTATTATTATTAGTATGCCATCTACCATTACTCATGAGTTCACTGAGAGTCTACACAGTGTTGTTGTTGTTGTCATTATGACATCTACCATTCCTATTATTATTATCATCGATTACCATGACTTATGGATTCGCTCCTACTGTGTTGTTGTTGTTATGACATCTACAATTCCTATTATTATTTATTACCATGACTTATGGAGTCACGGAGAGCCTACTGTGTTGTTGTTGTTGTTGTTGTTGTCATTATGACCTCTACCATTCCTATTATTATTATCGATTACCATGACTTATGGATTCACTGGGAGTCTACTGTGTTGTTGTAATTGTGTATGACATCTACCATTTCTATTATTATTATTATTATTATTATTATTATTATTATTATTATTGATTACCATTACTCATGAGTTCACTGAGAGTCTACTGTGTTGTGGTTGTTATGACATCTACCATTCCTATTATTATTATTATTGATTATTATGATGCCATCTACCACGACTTATGGGTTCACTGAGAGACTTCAGAGTTGTTGTTGTTGTAGTTATGACATCTACCATTCCTATTATTATTATTATTGATTGTTATGCCATCTACCATGACTTATGAGTTCAGTGAGAGTCTACTGTGTTATTGTTGTTATGACATCTACCATTCCCATTATTATTATTATGCCATCTACCATGACTTATGAGTTCACCAAGAGTCTTACAGTGTCATTGTTGTTGTTGTCATTATGACATCTACCATTCCTATTATTGATTATTATGATGCCATCTACCATGACTTACGAGTTCACTGAGAGTCTACAGTGTTGCTGTTGTTGTTGTCATTATTATGAAATCTACCATTCCTATTATTATTGATTACCATTACTTATGAGTTCACTGAGTTTACAGTGTAGTTGTTTTGTTGTTGTCATTATGACATCTACCATTCCTATTATTATTATTATTATTATTATTATTCCATCTACCATTACTTCTGAGTTCACTGAGTATACAGTGTTGTTGTTGTTATTGTTATTATGACATCTACCATTCCTATTATTATTATTATTATTATTATTATTATTATGCCATCTACCATTACTCATGAGTTCACTGAGAAGTCTACTGTGTTGTTGTTGTCGTTGTTGTCATTATGACATCTACCATTTCTATTATTATTTATTATGATGCCATCTACCATTACTCATAAGTTCACTGAGAGTCTACACTGTTGTTGTTATTGTTGTTATGACATCTACCATTTGTATTATTATTATTGATTACCATGACTTATGGATTCACTGGGAGTCTACTGCGTTGTTGTTGTGTTGTTATTGTTGTCATTATGACATTACAATTCCTATTATTATTATGACGCCATCTACCATGACTCATGAGTTCACGGAGAGTCTACAGTGTTGTTGTTGTTGTCATTATGACATCTACCATTTCTATTATTATTGATTATTATGATGCCCTCTACCATTACTCGTGAGTTCACTGAGAGTCTACTGTGTTGTTGTTGTTGTTGTCATTAAGACATCTACCATTCCTATTATTATTATTGATTACCATTACTCATGGGTTCACTGAGAAGTCTACTGTGTTGTTGTTGTGTTGTTGTTGTTGTTGTTGTCATTAAGACATCTACCATTCCTATTATTATTATTGATTACCATTACTCATGGGTTCACTGAGAAGTCTACTGTGTTGTTGTTGTTGTCATTAAGACATCTACCATTCCTATTATGATGCCATCTACCATTTGTTTACAGTGTTGTTGTTGTTGTTGTTGTTATGACATCTACCATTCCTATTATTATTATTGATTATTATGATGCCATCTACCATGACTCATGAGTTCATGGAGAGTCTACAGTGTTGTTGCTGTTGTTGTTGACTGACCTCTTTGTGGAGCTGGTTGCAGGTGGCAAGGGTCTCCAGGAGTGGGGCCTGGTGGTCCGGGGCGTGGAGGTAGAAGAGGGCCACGCTGGGGGTCTTCAGCCGTGCCAGGGAGGCCTCCAGCTGGGAGCGAAGACCCTCCGCCGTCAGCCGCTGGCCCTGCCACGGGTTGGCCTTGGTGGCCACCAACACTGCAAGCGGCAAGGAGACGGAGAAGAAGAAGACCTCTCAATGCAAAGCCACATCGCCCACCCGCCCACCCACCACCCCCAGGAGTTCCCCAAAAAGGGGCCAATCAATGCACTCTGCACATGCTCAGAGGACATTCTTAGGTGCAGATCAGGAGAAATGCACTCCGTACATGCCCAGAGGTTACTCTCCAGTGATGATAAGGAAAATGTACTCTTGATATGCTCAGAGGGCGCATTGCCAGTGAAAATCAGGAGAGGTGCACTCTGCACATGCTCAGTCAGCTTTGCACTTTGGCACTCTGTGCATGCTCAGAGGGCGCATTGCAAGTGCAGATAAGGAGGGAGGCACTCTGCACATGCTCATAAGATCCCCTAATTGCAAAAATGGAGAGATGCACTCTGCACATGCTCAGAAGATAATCTGCACTTGCAAAGGAGAAATGCACTCTGTATATGTTCAGAGGGCTCGTCGTAAATGCGGATAAGAAGAAATGCACTCTGCACATACTCAGATGATACTCTATACTTGCAAATACGGGGAGATGCACTCTGCACATGCTCAGAAGATACACTGTAATTGCAAATAAGGAGAGAAGCACTCTGCACATGCTCAAGAGTCGGCTTTGCACTTTAGCACACAGGGAAATGCACTCTGTGCATGCCCAGGAGCATTTGGTCTCCACTCTTTAGCATTTGCACTCTGCTCATGCCCCGGAGACCTTTCAGCAAGGCAGCTGCCCTTTGCACATGCTCAGAGGACACTCTGTAATCGCAAGGAGAGATGCACTCTGCACATGCTCAGTGGACACTATAATTGCAAAGAAGAAGAAATGCACTCTGCACATGCTCAGAGTCTGTGTTGTACTTTGGGACTCAAGGGCAGCACTCTGTGCATGCTCAGAGGGCTCACTGTCAGTGCAGATAAGGAGAGAAGCACTCTGCACATGCTCAGAATATACTCTGAAATTGCAAATAGGGAGAGATGCACTTTGCACATACTCAGAGTATACCCTGTAAGTGCAGATAAGGAGAGAAGCACTCTGCACATGCTCAAGAGTCAGCTTTGTATTTTGTCACGCAAGGAAATGCATTCTGCGCATGTTCAGGAGGCCTTTCAGCAAGCCAGCCGCCCTCTGCCTATGCCCAGGAGGCTAGCCGATGTCCCTGAAGGGCAGCCCTCTGCACATGCTCAGAGGATACTCTGCACTTGTAAATAAGGAGAAATGCACTCTGCACATGTTCAGAAGATGCCATGTAATTGCAAAGAAAGAGAAATGCACTCTGTACATGCCCAGGAGTACAGCATATGACACTCAAGGGCAGCACTCTGTGCATGCTAAGAGGGCGTGTTGTGAGTGCAGATAAGGAGAAATGCACTCTGCACATGCTCAGAGGATACGCTTTGTACTTTGACACTCAAGGACAACACTCTGCATGCTCAGAGGACGCATTGTAAATGCAGATAGGAACAAATGCACTCTGCACACGCTCAGAGGATACTCTGCACTTGCAGATAAGGAGAAGTGCACTCTGCACATGCTCAAGAGTTGGCTTTGTACTTTGTCGCTCAAGGAAATGCACTCTGCGCATGCCCAGGAGCCCAGCCTGCGTCCCTGAAGGGCAGCCCTCTGCACATGCTCAGAGGATACTCTGTAATTGCAAATACTGATGAATGCACTCTGCACATGCTCAGAGGATACTCTGCACTTGCAAATAGGGAGAGATGCACTCTGCACATGCTCAGAGGATACCCTGTAATTGCAAAGAAAGAGAAATGCACTCTGTACATGCCCAGGAGCTTAGCATATGGCACTCAAGGGCAGCACTCTGCGCATGCTCAGAGGGCAGGTTGTGAGTGCAGATAGGAACAAATGCACTCTGCACATGCTCAGAAGATACTCTGTAATTGCAAATACTGATGAATGCACTCTGCACATGCTCAGAAGATACTCCGTACTTGCAGATAAGGAGAAATGCACTCTGCACATGCTCAGAGGATACCCTGTAAGTGCAGATAAGGAGAAATGCACTCTCTGTACGTGCAAATAAGAAGAGAAGCACTCTGCACAAGCTCAGAGGATACCCTTTGTACTTTGACGCTCAAGGACAACACTCTGTGCATGCTCAGAGGACGCATTGTAAATGCAGATAGGAACAAATGCACTCCGCACATGCTCAGAGGATACTCTGCACTTGCAAATATGGAGAAATGCACTCTGTACATGCTCAGAGGGCACACTATATTTGGAAATATGGAAAAATGCACTCTGCACATGCTCAGAGGATACTCTGCAATTGCAAATAAGGAGAGATGCACTCTGCACGTGCTCAGAGTCCTTGTTGTACTTTGGGACTCAAGGGCAGCACTCTGTGCATGCTCAGAGGGCTCACTGTCAGTGCAGATAAGGAGAGAAGCAGTCTGCACATGCTCAGAAGATACTCTGTAATTGCAAATAGGGAGAAGTGCACTCTGCACATGCTCAGAGGATACTCTGCACTTGCAAATACTGAGGAATGCACTCTGCACATGCTCAGAAGATACTCCATACTTGCAGATAAGGAGAAATGCACTCTGCACATGCTCAGAGAACACTCCATATTTGGAAATACAGGGAAATGCACTCTGCACATGCTCAGAGGATACTCTGCACTTGCAAATATAGAAAAATGCACTCTGCACATGCTCAGAGGATACTCTGCTCTTGCAAATAAGGAGAGATGCACTCTGCACATGCTCAGGAGATACTCTAATTGCAAATAAGGAGAGGAGCACTCTGCACATGCTCAGAGGGCACACCATATTTGGAAATGTGGAAAATGCAATCTGCACATGCTCAGAGGCCACTTTGCAAGTGCAAACAAGGAGACCTGCACTCTGCGCATGCTCAGAGGCGACTCACCCTCCTTCTCTGTGCCCAGGAGGGCCCCCAGGATGCTCTCAGTCTGGCCCTGGGCGTACATGGCGGCGGAGTCGAGCTCCCGGTGCCCGCGGGCGAGAAAGGCCCTCAGCATCTCGGCGCTGGCCTCCTTGCTGGCCCTCCTCCCGAACTCCATCGTGCCCAGCACCGTCCGCACCCCCGAGCCAGCCATCACCCCTTTCTGCCGAGCGCGGGCCTCGAACCCGGTGCTAGCTGAGCAGAAGGGCAGCTCTGCGCATGCGCCCGGGGTCGGCCAAGCTCCAAAGTCCCCAGGAGTCAACACCCCCTTCCGCGCATGCGCCTCCTCTCCTGCTCCAAAGTCCTTCCCAGGGAAAGGAGGGACCGTCGCGAAATTCCTCACCCGGGACGCAGCCGAAAACAAGTGTTTATTCTGTAGGGATACTTTTGAAAGTTTGAACTACAACTCCCAGCCTCCCCAGCGTTGCTTTTCTCCTCCTCTTTCGGGGCGGGTCCGGGTCTCAGCTGATTCGGAGCCAAACCCGAACCGGCGCCGGAGGGAAAGGAAAGCAAACCGGGACGGTGCCTGGCTTCCAGTTCCTAGGCTTGCAAACAAAAGAGCCCAGAAAGGGAACATAGGCTTTGTCCCTTTAAGGTAAATATGCATCATTATTATTATTTATTATTATATTTAGTACACAGCAAACAAGATCACCATATTGGCTTTTGCATTGTGTCGTTGTTGTTGTTGTTGTTAGGGTTTGCTTTGTCTGCAATGGGATTTTTGGGGAGGCTTTTGCAAGAGCAAACCCATTGACTGCTATTGGATTGAGCTTTGCAGCCACTCAATGGTCAATTGAATGGAGAGGCCTGTTTTTGAGCCTCTCCCAGAAACCCCAAATGCACTCTGTTCATGCTCAGAGGTGCTGTTGCTCTTTCTTAAAGGGAACACTCCCCCAAAGGGGGGGGAGGATTAAGAATTGATTTATCCTTATCTGCACTTGCCTAATAGCCTCTGAGCATGTGTAGAGTGCATTGAGCAGAGTGCGTTTCTCCTTATCTGCACTTATTAAGCAGCCTCTGAGCATGTGCAGAGTGCATTTCTGCTTATTTGCGCTCCCACCGTAGCCTCTGAGCATGTATAGAGCGCATTTCACCTTATCGGCCCTTGCTAAATAGCCTCTGAGCATGTGCAGAGTGCATTTCTCCTTTCTTTGCACTTGGAAAGCAGCCTCTGAGCATATGCAGAAAGCATTTACCCTTCTAGGCACTTACAAAGCGGCCTCTGAGCATGTTCAGAGTGCATTTACTCTTCTATGCACTTACAAAGCGGCCTCTGAGCATGTGCAGAGTGCATTTACCTTTCTGTGCACTTACAAAGCAGCCTCTGAGCACGCGCAGGGTGCATTTACCTTTCTGTGCACTTACAAAGCGACCTCTGAGCATGTGCAGAGTGCATTTACCCTTCTATGCACTTACAAAGCGGCCTCTGAGCATGTGCAGAGTGCATTGTGCAGAGAGCATTTCTCCTTACCTGCACTTACAGATCAGCATCTGAGCATGTGTAGAGTGCATTTCCCCTTATCTGCATTTACTAAATAGCCTCTGAGCATGTGCGCAGTGCATTTCACTTTATCAGCACTTACAAGGGAGCCTCTGAGCATGTGCAGAGTCATTTATCCTAATTGTAAGCTGCAAGGTGGCCACTGAGTATGTGCAGAGCGCATTAAGGCTTATCTTCACTTGCAAATCAGAATCTGAGCACGTACAGAGTGCATTTCTCATATCCGCACTTAGGAGATACCTCTGAGCATATACCGAGTGCATTTATCTGCACTTTCAAAGCGGCCTCGAGTGCATTTCTCATATCTGCATTTACTAAATAATTCAGATAAGGAGCATGAGTGTAGTGCATTTGCCCTTACTTGCACTTACAAAGCAACCTCTGAGCATGTCCAGGGTGCATTTCTCATATCTGTGCCTCAGAGTGACTTCTGAGCATGTCCAGAGTGCATTTATTCACACCTCTTTGGGGAATGGCTTCCCTAGCATTGCAAAATAACTTGGTATGTTACCCTATTATTATTATTACAATCTGCTTGGCGTGATTTCCCGGCAGGAAACTGAGTCATACAGACATAGGGTTTGGGGAACTATTTGTATTTACGTCCCACTTCTCTGCTCCGCATCCTCCCAACGGCCCTTTGTTTACGCCGGGGTCCCCCTAAGGGTCATCTAGACCCACCCCATCCCGCCCGTGACGGAGTTGTTTGCTCTCTCCCAAATGAAGAATGCTGTCTCGTCTTGTCCGGAGGCGCAAACATGTTGGTGACGACGGGATTTCGACATTCCTGACCCGAAAGACCTGACGCATCATTTCCTGGGAGGCCACATTGCAAAAGCATTGTCTTCAAATTGAAGTCTAAAGCCCAGGAAAAGCGCTGATGAGGCCGGATTGCCCTCCGATCAGCTGACTTGGATCCCATGACCCCTTTGACCCTTGGCCTGGTGGTCAGCAATGCTTCCCCTCCACTGACCTAAAGACACTTACTAGATTGCTATCATTCCAATAGATCAGGCTCAGGACAACTTAACTCCTCCCTCCAGGTGTTTTGGACTCCCAACTCCCGCCAGGACTTGGTTGGCCTCATTCAGAAGTGAGGGTTGAAGAAAACACCTTCCTGGATGCGATCCTGTTCAACGTTTCTCTCTGGAAACAGCAGTAACCTGGAGGCCCAGGTGCATGCTGCACGACATCATGGGTCGCTATAACCACTATTCCTGGCAAAAGGCAAATCAATAGAAATCAATACCATTCCAATTCTATTTTTCAGCCTGGTGTCGCGATGTCTCTCCCGAGTAACGTCTCCGTCCTCTGCCCCAACGGGTCCCGGTGGGTGATGGAGGTTTTCAACGAGTGCGCCCAGGACGGGTGGGACCTGGCCAGCGTCGTCCTGGGACTCGTCTCCATCCTTTGCTTTGCCGGCGCTTCTTTCCCGTAAGTCGCACCTGACTCCTCCTACTCGATTGGCTATTCTACTAGGGGGCGGGGCCAGGAGCAAAGTGGGTGGGACTACGAGCACAGGGGGTGTGACTTGGGTGTAGGGTTAAGAGCACCATGGGTGAGGCCAACAATACAGTGGGCCAGTTTAGCCCAGTGGGCGGGGCTTAACCTTGAAGCCACTCCCCTTTGTGCCCACTCCCAGGCAGTTCTACCTGTCCTGCAAGACGGGGATGATGGACCAGGCGCTGTCACTCTACTTCCTGCTGGGCTGGCTGGGAGGAGACTCCTTGAACCTCATTGGCTCCTTCTTGGCCGACCAGCTGCCACTCCAGGTAAGGGCCCGCCTCCTTTCCCAAGGCCGCGCATCACGGGAACCCGTGTCCCACTTGGCCGTGGATGACAGGACCCCATGCCCCGCTTGGCCACGGATGACGGGAACCTGTGCCCCGCTTGGCCATGGATGACGGGAACCCGTGCCCCGCCTGGCTGCGGATGACGGGAACCAGTGCCCCGCTTGGCCGCGGATGACGGGAACCCGTGCCCTGCTTGGCCGCGGATGACGGGAACCCGTGCCCCGCTTGACCGCAGATGACGGGAACCCGTGCCCCGCTTGGCTGCGTATGACAGGAACCCGTGCCCCGCTTGGCCGCGGATGACGGGAACCCGTGCCCCACTTGGCCGCAGATAACCGGAACCCGTGCCCTGCTTGGCCGCAGATGACGGGAACCCGTGCCCCGCTTGGCCGTGGATGATAGGACCCCATGTCTCCCCCTGGCCTTTCCGGCGCTGACCCTTTTCCTTGTCCCCTTTGCCAGGTCTACACGGCCATCTACTACGTCCTGGCGGACCTGCTTATGATCTCCCTCTACGTTTACTACAAGGTCAAGAACCAGAACAGGACCCGTAAGTTGGCGTCTATCCTTCTTTGGTCCTCTGAGTATTTTGGACTCTTCACACCCGGTATGAGTTGGGAGTCCGGTATGAGTTTTCATGCTCACGTTACCCTTTTCGTTCGTCTTTCAAGTATCGGCCTCCATCAACGCGGTCTTCGCTTCCATCCTCCTCTTCGGATCCGTCTCGGCCTTTTCCTCCCTGGACCGTTTGGATGCTCCTCTGGGCGATGGGACCCCCGTGGCCTTCAAAGGGAGGGCCCTCCTGGCCTTGCCCGAAGACCCCCCAGGGTGGGAGGTGAGGCCAAGAGAGTGTGACCCTCCTTTTCAAAAGCAAGGCCGGGATTCGAACCCAGGCCAACAGAGTCATGGCCTTACTTACGAATGCTTCTCCCGCAGCCGTTCACCCGGAAGGAAATCATTGGCTTCGTCGTTGGGTCGGTCTCCGCGGTGCTGTACTTGAGCTCCCGCATCCCCCAGATCTACACCAACGTAAGATGCCCTTCGGGATGAGTAGCGCGCCTCGAGAGGATTCATAAACAAACCCTCCCCATTTGATCCTCAGTGCTTGATAATCACGACTCCGTTGGACTACATCTCCCAGCATTCCTTGCCGCTGGCTGCTGGGATTTGCAGTCCAACCTCATGAGTAGGCCAATGATTTGGGTGTGTGTGTATATGTGTGTGTGTGTGTGTATATATGCATGTGTGTGTATGTATATGCATGTGTGTGTATGTATATATGCATGTTTGTATATATATGTATGTGTTTATACAGTATGTGTATGTATATATGCATGTGTGTGTGTGATATGTGTATATATATGTGTATATACAGTATGTGTGTATGTATATATATGTATGTGTATAGGTGTGTATGTATATATGCATGTGTGTATATATATATGTACATATATATGCATGTGTGTGTATATATGCATGTGTTTGTATATATATGTGTTTATACAGTATGTGTGTATGTATATATGCATGTGTGTATATGTGAGTGTGTGATATGTGTATATATGTATGTGTATATATGTATGTATGTATATATGCATGTGTGTGTATATATATGTATGTGTTTATACAGTATGTGTATGTATATATGCATGTGTGTATATGTGAGTGTGTGATATGTGTATATATGTTTGTATATATATATATGTGTGTGTATATGTGTGTATGTATATATGCATGTGTGTATGTGTATATATATGTACATATATATGCATGTGTGTGTGATGTGTGTATATATGTATGTCTGTATGTATATGTATATATATCTATCTGTGTATGTGTCTGTATATATATATATATGTGTGTGTGTGTGTGTACATATATGTGTGTATATATATATATATATATGAATGTACTTCAGGTCCCATCAGCCCCACCATAATGGGAGCTAGCCTTCCAAATCTGATTCTGGAGTCTCCAGGTTTAGGTTAAGGGCAATGGGAGATGTAGTCCAAGCATGGGGTTCTTCCTAGGTTTCATTCAGAGCTGGGCTTGGAATTGCCCAATTTGGACTACAACTCCCATCTCTTTCGAGTTCCTTTTGCAACATTCATTCACAGCTAGGCTTAGAGTTGACCCACTTTGGACTACAACTCCCATCTCTTTCGGGTTGTGACACTCCAGCGTGCTTCCAGTCCTCAATAAACCCACATTGTCCCCTTCCTGCTTCCAGTTCAGGAGGAAATCCACCACCGGGATCTCTTACTCGCTCTTTGCTCTGGTGATGCTGGGAAACACTCTGTACGGGCTCAGTGTCCTGATGAAGAACCCAAACCCGGGACAGTCAGAGGGGAACTACGTAATCCATCACCTCCCCTGGCTGGTCGGGAGCCTGGGCGTCCTCTCCCTCGACATCGTCGTATCCTTTATTCCTTTGGGGATGGAAAGACTGCCTCAGGATGATGGGAGTCGCAGTCCGATCCCTATAGAAGGATTGGGTAAAGGGTGGCTCTCAAAATGGCAGCAGGAAGTGGACACTTCCTCTGCAGCCATCAAAAGGCGAGCAGGAAGTAGGCGTTCTTCTGCAGCTCTTCTCAAAATGGCCGTTTCCTCTGCATTTCCTCCCAAAATATATGTTTCCTCTGCATTTCCTCCCAAAATAGTAGCAGGAAGCAAAGTTTTTCCTCCTCAAAACGAGGACAGGAAGTCGTTTCCTCGAAAGGATGGAAGTAAAGCAATCCCTCTCAAAATGGAGGCAGGAAGTTATATTCCCGTGCCTTCCCTTTCCAAATGGGAAGAGGAAGGAAACTTCCCTCTGTCATCCCTCTCGAAATGGAAAGCTTCCTCTCCAGTTCTTCTCAAATTTGGAGCAGGAAGTGACATTCCTTCTGCAGTCCCTCTCAAAATGGTGGCAGGAAGTGATATGTCTTTTGCATTCCCTCTCAGAATGGGAACAGGAAGTTATACTGTGCCTTTCCAAATGGGAAAAGGAAGGAAACTTCCTTCTGCTGTTCCTCTCAAAGAGAAGGGAAGCTTCCCCTAAAGTTCTTCCCAAAATGGGGACAGGAAGTTGTTATTCTTATTATATAATAATTATATAATAATTATATAATCTTCTGCAGTCCGCTTTCAAAATGGAGGCAGGAAGTGATGTTTCCTCTGCAGTCCTTCCCAAAATGGGAGAAGGAAGTTATTATTATATGTCTTCCTCTGCAGTCCTTTTCAAAATGGTGGCAGGAAGTGATGTGTCTTTTGCAATCCCTCTCTGAATGGGAACAGGAAGTTACTATACCTGTGCCTTCCCTTTCCAAATGGGAAAAGGAAGGAAACTTCCTTCTGCTATCCCTCTCAAAGAGAAGGAAAGCTTCCCCTAAAGTTCTTCCCAAAATGGATGCAGGAAGTTATAATTATTATATGTCTTCTGCAATCCCTCTCAAAATGGGGACAGGAAGTGGTGTTCCTTCCGCAGTACTTCCCAAAATGGAGGCAGGAAGTAGTCGTTGGTGTTATATAATCTTCTGCATTTCCTCTCAAAATGGTGGCAGGAAGTAATGTGTCTTATCTGAATAGGAAGTCAATACTCCTGTGCCTTCCCTTTCCAAATGGGAAGAGGAAGGAAATTTCCTCTGCTATCCCTCTCCAAGAGGAAAGTTTCCTCTCAAAATGGCTTCCAGAAGTGGCCCTTGACACCGCGATGCAGATTTCCTTCCAGTTCCTGGCCTACCGCCAAGGGAGGGCGTTGGTGCAAATGGAAGAGGAGGAAGCGCTGCTCCGAGAGGAAGATCCCATAGAAAGCGGGCGGACGTGACCAGGACTCAAGATCCTTCTTCCTCTTCCTCCTTTGGGAATGGACACAGCTTCGCCTTGGGAGACATAGTCGTCCGAACGGAAAAAAATGGTGCTTTCTAGATCCCAAAAAATAAGGTCAAAAGAAGGGAATGAATTCCCAGAAATGGGCATTCGTTGCACGTTTTTGCACGCTCCGCTTCCTTTCACGAATCCGGCCGTGTTTCCCTTCCTTCGCACGCGACTTAAAGGGACGGAGACACAATTATTCCGCGAAGGGAGCGTCACGTTTGGCTTGGAAGGGACGAAACGATCACGACAAACTCTCGGGTCGGTGTAAAAAAAATTTCAATAAATAGGGAAGACATGTTTTTTTGTGATTTATTTCCTTTTTTTGTCCTTTTTTTTTCACGTTACGGAGGCTCAAGAAGACGGAGGTTTCCAATCGAAGCGTTACAGAATATATTTTGTTGTCAAAACAAAAGGAAAAAAGAACAACCAACCAACCAAATAAAATGGGAAAAGAAAAAAAAATTAAAATCGAAATAATAATAATAAGAATAATAATAACCAATGCTTTTGCATTCCATAGAAAATACAAAGAAAGCATTCCGGTTCGGAAGCGAGCCGAACGCCTGACCTGGTTTCCGAGGGGGGTGTTGTTGTTATTCCGTCCCGTGATACAGAGCGCAGAGTAAATAAAAGGGGGTTATTTCCCCCCCTGTTTGCAAAGGAAAAAGGGGTCGGAAACAAACGCCGCAATCAACGCGAAAAAAAAAAAGGGAAAAATGGAAGGGGGGAAAAAAAGTTTATACAGCTTTATTCGTCGGTCGTGATTTGGAAGGAATACCGTATTGACGGAGGACAAAAAATGGCAGGCAGATGGCGAGGAAGAGGGAGGGAAACCCAATGTTTTCTAAGGGAGGAAGTAAACAAACAAAAAGGAGAAAGAGAGAAAGAGAGGAAGAGGAAATCTATAAGGAACCGCATGGCGTGGTTTTGCGTGAGCGCCGAGTCGCCGACCAAGGTCTCGTTGGCCTGATTTTTCCTCTCCTCCTCCTCCTCCTAACTTTGCTGCTTCCTCTTCAGAGCCTCCACCAGGTCGTTCTTCAGTGCTTCCTGCTTCGATTTGTCCGCAAGGGTCTGCACAGTCCTGGGTGGGTGAGGAAAAGGAAGGAAGGAAATGAATAAATACATGCATTTTGTGGGAGCATGCAAGGAATTCAGTTAGTGTGTGTCAACTGTAAAATAAGAGGCACAAAGCTGAGTGGTTGAGAGATGGCTGAGCCTAGGACTTTTGGTTACTGTTACATTTTTGTTCAGGCTTGAGCTATGCAAGTGCTCAGGGAGAGAAAAGAGAGAAGCGGAGGAAGAGAAGCAGAAAGAAACAGAGTTCAGAATGTGCTCTCACTTTGTTTATTTTACATTATGCCACACATTTACTATAGGGCCTTGTGCCGGAAGATGACTGAGCCTGGGACTTTTGGTTACTGTTACATTTTTGTTCAGGCTCGAGCTGCGCAGGTGTCAGAGAGAAAAAACAGTGAAGCTGAGAGTGAAGCAGAAAGAGACAGAGTTTGGAGTGTGCTCTTGCTCCGTGAGCTGCTGAAAGAGTTTATCTGCATGGACTTTTGGTTACTGCTACATTTTTGTTCAGGCTCGAGTTATGCAGGTGCTTGGAGAGAGAAAAAAAGTGAAGCAGAGAGAGAGAGAGAGAGTGTGTGTCAACTGTAAAATAAGGTGTGTGTCAACTGTAAAATAAGATGCACACAGCTGATTGGTTGAGCATCGTGTGGGGAAATGGCTGAGCCTGGGACTTTTGGTTATTGTTGCATTTTTGTTCAGGCTTGAGCTGTGCAGGTGCTTGGAGAGAGAAGAGAGTGAAACAGAGAGAAGAGTGTGTATGTGTCAACTGTAAAATAAGGTGTGTGTCAACTGTAAAATAAGGTGCACACAGCTGATTGGTTGAGCATCGTGTGGGGAAATGGCTGAGCCTGGGACTTTTGGTTATTGTTGCATTTTTGTTCAGGCTCGAGCTGTGCAGGTGCTTGGAGAGAGAAGAGAGTGAAACGGAGAGAAGAGTGTGTATGTGTCAACTGTAAAATAACGTGTGTGTCAACTGTAAAATAAGGTGCACACAGCTGATTGGTTGAGCTTCATGCGGGGAAATGGCTGAGCCTGGGACTTTTGGTTACTGTTACATTTTTGTTCAGGCTCGAGTTGCGCAGGTTTCTTGGAGAGAGAAAAGAGTGAAGCAGAGAGCAAGGCAGAAAGAGGCAGAGTTTAGCGTGTGCTCTCGCTTCATAAGCTGCTGGAGTTTATCTACATGGACAAAGAAATGCCATTTTAAATCCCTCATTATGTGAGTTGATGCATCTGATCACATTGTACATATGTTGTTCTGAACTACGAAGAGTAAACTCCTCGTTCTTTCCTGATTTGGGGAGCTGCTGTCCAAAATAATCACAAGAGATCCAGGAAAGACGGAACCCAAAGAGGCGCCCAACAGGACTGCAAACCACAGCAAACCGACTCTCTTGTGAACACACTTCCATGCCTCAAACCCATTCGCTTCCAGCCACCTCCATCAGGGCTGTGCGCAGGCCAGCGGGATTCGGATTTGAGAGCGAAGCATCAAGAAATGTTGCAAAATAATCCTGGAACGATTCCCATAAAGACGGGAAATTAAAGGTTCCTGAATCTTACGGCTTTCTTTGGGCCTCGGTTTGGAGAAACCCTATATATATATATATATATATATATATATATATATATATATATATATATATATATACACACACACACACACACACACACACACAAAATAATAATTATGATAATAATAATAAAGTAGATTCTCGAATAATATATAATAATAAATAATTTTATATATATATATATATACACACACACACATACATTATCCTAAATATGATAATACAGTAGATTCTCAAATAATATAGAATACTAAATAATTATGATATATATATACATTATACTAAATGATGATGATAATACAGTAGATTCTCAAATAATATATATATATATATATATACATACACACACATAGTAAATATAATACAGTAGATTCTCAAATAATAAATAATACTAAATAATTACAATATATATACACATTATACTAAATGATAATACAGTAGATTCTCAAATAATATATAATACTAAATAATTATATATATACATTATACTAAATGATGATAATACAGTAGATTCTCAAATAATATATAACACTAAATAATTATATATATATATATATACATTTTACTAAATGATGATTATAATACAGTATATTCTCAAATAATATAACTAAATAATAATAATGATTATATATATATATATATATATAATACTAAACAATAAAGAAAATAATACAGTAGATTCGCAAATAATATATAATACTAAACAATAATAATACAGTAGATTCTTGAATATAATACTAAATAATAATGATGATATATAATACTAAATAATAATAATGCATAATAATATTGATTATATATATATATATGTGCATACATACATAATACTAAATATATATATATATATATATGCACGCACATACTAAATAATAATGATGCTAATGGTGCTGCTGATAATTAATAATAATAATAATAATAATGCACTTCGGACACTGAGAGCTTCTTTGGGCCCGATTCCTGGGGGAACGTGGGGTAATAGTACTAATCCGAATACGGCCTACGCACAGCCCTGGTTGCGGTGGGTCCTTACCTGTCCGAAGCGTGTACAAACCAGGAGCCAAACCACACGCAAGGCTCCACATGTCAAATGCAAGGGCCTGCCTGAGGGTGAAGGACAGGCCTCGTATGCAAGCGGGTCAGAGAGTTAGGGGTTAGTGGTGGGTGAGCAAGGCATGCTGCCTCCCCTGGACCGCCAGCGTTAGGGGTCGAGTGCGTGGGTGGGTGGGTTTAGTCCCCGCTTGGCTCCTGGGGGGGGGGGGTACCTGGGGCGGCCCTTAGTTATCGTCCGGCTGAATGTACATCTGGCGCTGGGTCAGGACCTGGGAGAGCTCCCGCTGCAACTGCTTATACTTTTGGTTGTCAGGGAGGGCGTCAATAGATCTAGAGAAGGCCGAGTGCGAGGGAAGACGGACAAAGGGAGGAGAAGGGGGAAAGGAGAGTCAGAAGAGGACAGAGGAGGCACCCAAGCCGACTCGGAGGAAGGAAAAAAGGAAGGAAGGAAGTCACAAAAAGGCGAGTTTGCATCCACACATGAGGATCCACATCCTCCTTCTCTGAGCTGGGGAAAGGAGAAAGCTGGTCTCCTTCTCAGAAATGGAGAAGGAAGAAAGCAGGCCTCATCGCTGGAAAAAGGAGAAAGCAGGCCTCTTTTTCAGAGCTGGAGAAAGCTGTCCTCCTCAGAGCTGGAGAAGGGAGAGAGCAGGCCTCCTCATCTGCAGAAGGCAGAATGTAGGGCTCCTTCTCAGAGCTGGAAAAGGGAGAAACCAGCCCTCCTACACTGGAGAAAGCAGGTCTCCTCACAGCTGGAGAAGGGAGAAGGTAGGGCTCCTTCTCAGAGCTGGAGAAGGGAGAAAACAGGTTCTCAGAGCTAGAGAAGGGAGAGCAGTCCTCCTCAGCTGCATAAAGGGGGTTGTAGGGCTCCCCCTCAAAGCTGGAGAAGGGGGAAACCAGCCCTCCTACACTGGAGAAAGCAGGTCTCCTCACAGCTGGAGAAGGGAGAAAACAGGTTCTTGGAGCTGGAGAAGGGAGAGAGCAAGCCTCCCCATCTGCAGAAGGCAGAATGTAGGGCTCCTTCTCAGAGCTGGAGAAGGGAGAAAACAGCCCTCCTACACTGGAGAAAGCAGGCCTTCTCACAGCTGGAGAAAGGAGAAGGTAGAGCTCCTTCTCATTGCTGGAGAAGAGAGAAATCAGGCCTCAATTGGAGAAAACAGGCTTCTTCGGAGCTGGAGAAGGAAGAAAGTTCACGTACTGTATTTCTACGATTCAAAGACCCATATGAACATCTCTAAAAATGGGATGTGTCTTAAGTATTTTTGGTTGCTGTTGGCATCTTAGAATCGGGAGAAATACAGTAGTTGCAGTGTCAACATTGTTGAAGATTTCTGATCAATTTGGACGTTGGGGAGCCAAGTTTCTCAAAAGGGAAAGAGACTCCACAGAGGTGGTTCTTCTTCTCTTCTGGGGTTTGGGGGGAAAGGGGAAAGGAGGGCGTTCCGGCCATTACCTCAGCCCATTGACGATGTCCTTCGTTTTCCCAAAATAGATCTCATTCAGCGTACTCCTGATTTTGTTCTCCATGTCCTACAAATGGGAGAAAGAGGGAAGGTGAAGGCTCTGCTCCAAAGACCTTTAACCCAGGTGTTCATACTCATACTGAGGCCTCTCTCATACCGAGATTTCTCTCATACTGAGGCACACTGACACTGGAGCCTTCTCATACTTCTCATTTGAACCTTGCTGATAGAAATTTTCCTTGATTTTAATGTTATTTATTACGTGTGTATATTGTGAAGCGCTTCGAGCCTTCAGGTAGTGGTGGTATATAAAACTGATTAATAAATAAAATAAAAATACTGAGGCCTTCTCATACTGAGATTTCTCTCATACTGAGGCACACTGATACTGGAGCCTTCTCATACTGGGGCCTTCTCATACTGAGATTTCTCTCATACTGAGGCACACTAACACTAGAGCCTTCTCATACTTTTCAATGAACCTTGCTGATCGAAATTTTCCTTGATTTTAATGTTATGTATTACGTGTGTATATTGTGAACCGCTCCGAGCCCTCGGGGAGTGGCGGTATATAAAATTGATTAATAAATAAAATTAAAAATACTGAGGCCTTCTCATACCGAGATTTCTCTCATACTGAGGCACACTGACACTGGAGCCTTCTCATATTGAGATTTCTCTCATACTGAGGCAAACTAACACTGGAGCCTTCTCATACTGAGATTTCTCTCATACTGAGGCAAACTAACACTGGAGCCTTCTCATACTGAGATTTCTCTCATACTGAGGCAAACTTAACACTGGAGCCTTCTCATACTGAGATTTCTCTCATACTGAGGCAAACTTAACACTGGAGCCTTCTCATACTGAGATTTCTCTCATACTGAAGCAAACTAACACTGGAGCCTTCTCATACTGAGATTTCTCTCATACTGAGGCACACTGACACTGAAGCCTTCTCATACTGAGACCTTCTCATACTGAGATTTCTCTCATACTGAGGCAAACTTAACACTGGAGCCTTCTCATAGTGAGGCCTTCTCATACTGAGATTTCTCTCATACTGAAGCAAACTAACACTGGAGCCTTCTCATACTGAGATTTCTCTCATACTGAGGCACACTGACACTGAAGCCTTCTCATACTGAGACCTTCTCATACTGAGATTTCTCTCATACTGAGGCAAACTAACACTGGAGCCTTCTCATACTGAGATTTCTTTCATACTGAGGCACACTGACCCCGGAGCCTTCTCATACTGAGACCTTCTCATACTGAGATTTCTCTCATACTGAGGCAAACTAACACTGGAGCCTTCTCATACTGAGATTTCTCTCATACTGAGGCACACTGACACTGAAGCCTTCTCATACTGAGACCTTCTCATACTGAGATTTCTCTAATACTGAGGCAAACTAACACTGGAGCCTTCTCATACTGAGATTTCTCTCATACTGAGGCACACTGACCCCGGAGCCTTCTCATACTGAGGCCTTCTCATGCTGAGGCTTCTCTCAAACTGAGGGCAACTAACACTGAGGTGTACTAAGCTACAGGCACAACTATTTATATTGAACTGCAGATTTTGCTGAGTCATTGCATCCATTTAACAGTGTTTGACTCACATTTTTTGTAATTAAAAATACCTAGATAATTGTTTTTCTATTTCTGACAAACCAGGCCACGGAAGCATTATAAGAACTGATCCTGACCAGAAGAGGGCAGCATTCGCCCATCAAATGGAAACCAGCCGCACAAACAGAGCGAAGTTGGGCAATTGAGATGGTTAGCATGAAGGTCGAGAGAGGCCTACCTCTACCAAGCGCCCGATGTTGGCTATGTGCGGGGAAGAGTCGCTCACGGTCTCGTCTTTCTCCATCTGCGGAAAAGGAAACCAAGAGGTTAAGAGGAGTATGCCGACTATGGCGGGGAAACAAGGAAACACACCTTTCTTGACCTGTTGAGTCCAGAAAGAGCATTATTCTTATTATTATTATTCTTATTATTATTATCATTTCTTATATATTTCTATTATTATTATTATTATTATTATTATTATTATTATTATTTCTTATTATATATTTTGTCCTATCTCCCTTTATGGCAGAACAGGGTTGGACTGGATGGCTGCCGAGGCTCTGAAGTCTGGCAGGGGCTGCATGGCTATCTGCTAGGAGGGCTTTGATGGGGTCCCCCTGGCAGAATGGGTTGGACCAGGTGGCCTTTGGAGGTCCCCTCTGACTCTAGAGGAATACAAACTGCCTTCAAGGCCAGTGGAGTGTCCTTCTCCAGAGGCCTATAATCAGGGGCTGCATGGCCATCTGCCAGGAGGGCTTTGATGGGTTCTTCTTGGCAGAAGAGTTGGGACTGGATGGCCTTTGGGGGTCCCTTCTGACTCTGGTGGGAAACAGATTGCTTTAAAGTCCAGCGGAGTCTCCTTTTTTGAAGGTTTATAAGCAGGGACTACATGGTCATTTGCCAGGAGGGCTTTGATGGTGTCTTCCTGGCAGAATGGGGTTGGGACTGGATAGCCTTTGGGGATCCCTTCCGGCTCTAGTGGGATATGGATTGCCGTGAAGTTCAGCTGAGTCTCCTTTTCTGGAGGGTTATAAGCAGGGGCTGCATGGCCATCTGCTACGAGAGCTTTGGTGGTGTCTTCCTGGCTCAATGGGGTTGGGACTGGATGGCCTTTGGGGGTCCCTTCAGACTCTAGTGGGATATGGATTGCCTTCAAGTTCAGCGGAGTCTCCTTTTCTGGAGGCTTACAAGCAGGGACTACATGATCATCTGCCAGGAGGGCTTTGATGGTGTCTCCCTGGCACAATGGGGTTGGGACTGGATGGTCTTTGGGGGTCCCTTTTGACTCCAGTGGGAAACAGATTGCCTTGAACTCTGATGGAATCTCTTTTTTTGGAGGCTTATTAGCAGGGACTACATGGTCATCTGCCAGGAGGGCTTTGATGAGGTCTTCTTGGCTCAATGGGGTTGGGACTGGAGGCCTTTGGGGGTCCCTTCAGACTCTAGTGGGAAACAGATTGCCTTGAAGTCCAGTGGAGTCTCATTTTTGGAAGCTTATAAGCAGGGACTACATGGCCATCTGCTAGAAGGGTTTTGGTGGTGTCTTCCTGGCACAATGGGGTTAGGACTGGATGGGCTTTGGGGGCCCCTTCAGACAATAGTGGGATATGGATTGCCTTGAAGGTCAGTGGAGTCTCCTTTTCTGGAGGGTTATAAGCAGGGGCTGCATGGCCATCTGCTAGGAGGGTTTTGGTGGTGTCTTCCGAGCACAATGAGGTTGGACCGGATGGCCTTTGGGGGTTCCTTCTGAGTCTCGGATCCCATTTTCTCTTCCCCGCAAACCCTCCGTGCTGCCAAGGGGTTTTTTCCTCTGGATGGCTCTTCCCTGGGAAAGGGGAAGGAAGGGAGGATTCAAGCCCTGGCCCCGTTTCCGACCGAGCCAAACAATTCCGAGAGGGAGCGCCTGGGAAGCGAAGCGGCCCCTTTCTCTGGCCAGAGCACCTGGCGCTCGCCTGCAAACCATTGGCTGCCCCAAATCCCCCTCTTTGTTCGTCTCCCCGCAAGCGCCGGGGCCGCTTCACGAATCCGCTTCACGAATCCGTCACACTCTCAGGCGCTTTGTTTTGGTCCGCCCTGCACCCCTGGCCTTGGTCAATTTCATGGGAGACGGTCGCGAGGATTGTGGGCAAAGCATTCCAGCACCAAATTGGGATCCTTTCTCAAAGCCGAGGAGGCCCGCGTTGGACTCCAAATTCCATTCCGCACATGTTACCAGATTTGAGAAATGCTCTGTTCCGGGTTTGAATGAGTAATTCCCTGTTTAATGGTGCGGCCCTGACTTTGAAAAGAGTTTTTATTTATATATTTACGACATTTATACGCCCCTTTTCTCACCCCGAAGGGGACTCAGAGCAGCTTACAAGTAAAATGTAAATACAATATATTATATTATTACCATAGCACAATATTAATATTATACGTTACTATATTGTACTATAAAATTATATTTATTTTATTTATTTACGACATTTATATGCCACCCTTCTCACCCCGAAGGGGACTCAGAGCAGCTTACAAGTAAAATGTAAATACAATATATTATATTATTACCATAGCACAATATTAATATTATACGTTACTATATTGTACTATAAAATTATATTTATTTTATTTATTTACGACATTTATATGCCACCCTTCTCACCCCGAAGGGGACTCAGAGCAGCTTACAAGTAAAATGTAAATACAATATATTATATTATTACCATAGCACAATATTAATATTATACATTACTATATTGTACTATACAATTATATTTATTTTATTTATTTACGACATTTATATGCTTCCCTTCTCACCCCGAAGGGGACTCGGAGTGGCTTACAAGTAAAATGTAAATACAATATATTATATTATTACCATAGTACAATATTAATATTATATATTACACTGTACTATAACATTAAACTGTAATATTATTAGTAATATAATAATATATTAGTAGCAGTAGTGTTATATTGTATTACATTATAATATTATCAATATTATATGTATATACATTATATTATATTATATTATATTATATTATATTATATTATATTATATTATATTATATTATATTATATTATATTATAAGCACAGTGCAGAAGACAAGATGGAACTGCCTTCCTGGTCCCTCTCTTCACTCTGATCCTTCACTCTGACCATTTACGCTACCCTGGCAGCCACCTCAACATTGACACTGAAATACAACACTGCCTGAGCTCTGCAAGTGCAGCTTTTTTCGGAATGAAGCACAGAGTGTTTGAGGACCGGGACATCCGTAGGGATACCAAGGTGCTTGTTTATCAAGCTATTGTCCTCCCAACCCTGCTGTGGCAGCCACCTCTCTACCAAAGTCAACATAGACACTGAAATAAACATCACCTGAGCTCTGCAAGTGCAGCATTCTTCCGAATGAAGCATACAGTGTTTGAGGACCGGGGCATCCGTAGGGAGACCAAAGTGCTTGTTTAGAAAGCTATTGTCCTTCCAACCCTGTTGTGGTAGCCACCTCTCCACCAAAGTCAATACTGACACTGAAATACATCACCGTCTGAGCTCTGCAAGTGCAGCATTCTTCCGAATGAAGCACAGAGTTTTTGAGGACATCCATAGGGATACCAAGGTGCTTGTTTATACAGCTATTGTCCTTCCAACCCTGTTGTGGCAGCCATCTCTCCACCAAATTCATCATTGACACTGAAAGACAACACCACCTGAGCTCTGCAAGTGCAGCATTCTTCCGAATGAAGCACAGAGTGTTTGAGGACATCCGTAGGGATACCAAGGTGTTTGCTTATAAAGCTATTGTCCTCCCAACCTTGCTGTGGCAGCCACCTCTCCACCGAAGTCAACACTGACACTGAAAGACAACACCACCTGAGCTCTGCAAGTGCAGCATTCTTCCCAATGAAGCAAAGAGTGTTTGAGGACCAGGGCATCCGTAGGGATTCCAAGATGCTTGTTTATAAAGCTACTGTCCTCCCAACCCTGCTGTGGCAGCCACTTCTCCACCAAAGTCAACACTGACACTGAAATACAACACCACCTGAGCTCTGCAAGTGCAGCATTCTTCCGAATGAAGCACAGAGTGTTTGAGGACCGGGGCATCCAAACTCAAGAACGGAAAACAGAATGTTGGTGGGCAGGAAAAGATATTCAAAGATGGACTCAAAGCCAACCTTAAAAACTCTGGCATATACACTGAGAACTGGGAAGCCCTGGCCCTCGAACGCTCCAGCTGGAGGTCAGCTGTGACCAGCAGTGCTGTAGAATTTGAAGAGGCACGAATGGAGGGTGAAAGAGAGAAACGTGCTAAGGGAAAGAAGGTGCATCAAGGCAATCCCGACTGGGACCACCTAAGTAAATAAGGGTTTGGAAATGGACGCCGAATGGCCCAAGGTCTCGTACCTGTCTGGTGAGGCTGCCCCCGAGGTTCATGGTGCCGGAGCCGGTTTTGTTCGTCTGCAGCCACAGCATCACCGTGGAGGTCAGCTTGTAATGGGCGGTGCGGCCGCTGGACTTCTCCTGGAGGAAGGGAGCAGAGTCAGGGACCATCGCAGTCAATGCGGACACAGGCTGACCCTATGGAGGAGCGGCCCCCAAGTCTCCCGACTGTCAGCTCCTAATGTGGACTCCCTCAAAGCATTATTGTCCCTCCCAGCAAGCTCTGCCTTCCAGTATCTCCCAGTAACATGGGTCCCAAGGGTGGTGGTGGTGGGGGTATACAAGCCAAGATCTGCCAATGCATGAAAGGAGCCTGTATATATATATATATATGATGACAATCGTGCCATCACCGCTCAAGCAGGGAGCTTTGAAATGGCTGATGTAGTTTCATCTATGCTGACAATCATGCCATCACCGCTCAAGCAGGGAGCTTTGAAATGGCTGATGTAGATTTTCATCTATGCTGACAATCATGCCATCACTGCTCAAGCAGAGAGCTTTGAAATGGCTGATGTAGTTTCATCTATGCTGACGATCATGCCATCACTGCTCAAGCAGAGAGCTTTGAAATGGCTGATGTAGAGTTTCATCTATGCTGACGATCATGCCATCACTGCTCAAGCAGAGAACTTTGAAATGGCTGATGTAGTTTCATCTATGCTGACGACCATGCCATCACTGCTCAAGAAGGGAGCTTTGAAATGGCTGATGTAGATTTTCATCTATGCTGACGATTATGCCATCACTGCTCAATAAGGGAGCTTTGAAATGGCTGATGTAGTTTCATCTATGCTGACGATCATGCCATCACTGCTCAATCTGAGAGCTTTGAAATGGCTAACATAGTTTTATCTATGCTGACGATCATGCCATCACTGCTCAAGAAGGGAGCTTTAAAATGGCTGATGTAGATTTTCATCTATGCTGACAATTGTGCCATCACCGCTCAAGCAGGGAACTTTGAAATGGCTGGTGTAGTTTCATCTATGCTGATGATCATGCCATCACTGCTCAAGCAGAGAGCTTTGAAATAGGTAACATAGTTTTATCTATGCTGATGATCATGCCATCTCCACCCAAGCAAGGAGCTTTGAAATGGCTGAACAGAAGGTCTCTGAAGCTTCAGATGCTCTTACTGCCTATTACAGGGAAAACCAGGTGATTCCTCATCCACCTAAAATGCATGCAAATGCCTTAAATCAAGAAATAGCTTCCTAAGATCTACAGGGATACTTGCAGGAACACTTCAGCAAGCAAGAGTCCAAAAGTGGCTGGCTCAAACTTCCTCCTGGGCACATAGAAGAGTATCGACTTGGGAGGCACTTAATAGACTGCGCTCTGGCACCACGAGATGCAGAGCCAACCTTAAGAAATGGGGCCACAAAGTAGAATCCGCGACATGCGAGGAAATCAAACCACAGACCACGTACTACAATGCGATCTGAGCCCTGCGAGACCGCATTTGAGGCACTCCAAGTGGTCAAAGGAAACGAAGCATTAATGCCAAGTTTTTAACTTTGTGTTTTTTCATACTTTATAACTGTATTCTCAACTCTCTTATGACATGATAAATAAATATTATTTTTACTATTACTGTTCGGATATCATCTCGTGTCTATCTCGATTCCCAGCTTGACAAAAAGAACATGGGATGGAGAAGTCAAGCGTTGCGAAAGGCTGAGGACAGCCCTGCCTTGTTTGCCTGAGCACCTGCGCTCATTAGCTTCCTGGAATGTAACTGGGGCAGAAGGGGAATGGGGTTGAGTTTCCTCCCCACAGAGAAGAGGAGGAGGAGGAGGAGGCACCCTACCTGCACTTCCACCACGTGGATGGAGTCCCAGCAGCCCTTGATCTTCTTTGATCCGTCGCCAGCTTTCTTAATGAGAATCACGCCGGCAAATCCGTGATCCAAGTCCCAGAGGTAGACGGAGGAGACGCCCCCTTCAAAATACCTGCAGACCAAACAAGGGGAAGGAAGAAAGGAAAGAGAGAACGATCACCGCAAGGGAGGGGAAGGCAGCAAGGCCAGCCACTGCTTAGAGAGCTCGTTGGTTGCGTCCATGAGACAAAAGGTCCAAGGATGGGGAGATTCAAGATGTATTGTGTGCCTTCAAGGCAAAGAAGACTCTTATCATGGCATTTTCGTAGCGAGAGCTGTTCAGGGAGGGGTTGCCATAGCCGTCCTTTGAGGATGAGGGTCACCCAATTGCCCAAGGGACCCCCATTAATGTCACCCAACAGACCTTCATTAATGTTACTCAATGGATCTTCTTTGAGGTCAGCCAATAGATCTTTATTGAAGTCGTCCAATGGACCTCTATTAATGTCACCCAACAGACCTCCATTAATGTCACCCAGTAGACCCCCACTGAAGTTGCCCAATGGACCTCCATTAATGTCATTCAATGGACCACCACTGAGGTCACCCAACAGACCTCCAATATCACCCAATGGACCCCCTTTGAAGTTGCCCAATGGACTTCCATTAATATCATTCAACGGACCTCCATTGATGTCACCCAATAGACCTCCATTAATATCACCCAATGGATCTCCATTGAAGTCGCCCAATGGACTTCCATCAATGTTGCCCAATGGTCCTTCATTAATGTCACCCAACAGACCTCCATTAATATCACCCAATGGACCCCCATTGAAGTCGCCCAATGGACCCCCATTAATGTCACCCAGTAGACCCCCATTGAAGTTGTCCAATGGACCTCCATTAATGTCATTCAACGGACCTCCATTGATATCACCAAATAGACCTCCATTAATATCACCCAGTGGACCTCCATTGAAGTCACCCAATGGACCTCCATTAATGTTGCCCAATGGACCTCTATTAATGTCACCCAGTGGACCTTCACTGAAGTTGCCCAAGGGACTTCTATTGAAGTTGCCCGATGGATCTCCAATAATGACACTCAATGGACCTCTGTTAATATCACCCAACAGACCTTCATTAATATCACACAATGGACCCCCATTGAAGTCGCCCAATGAACCTCCATTAATGTCCCCCAGTTGACTTCCATTGAAGTTGTCCAAGGGGCTGCCATTGAAGTTGCCCAATGGGCCTCCATTAATGATATTCAATGGACCACCACTGATGTCACCTAACAGACCTCCAATATCACCCAATGGACCTCCACTTAAGTTGCTCAATGGACCTCCATTTATGATGCCCAGTGGACCTTCATTGAAGTCGCCCAAGGAGCTTCTATTGAAGTTGCCCAATGGACATCCATTAATACCCCCCAACTGGATCTCCATTAAAGTCACCCAATGGACGTCCATTAATGTCACCCAATTGATCTCCATTAATGTCCCCAATTGGACCTCAATTAATGTCATCCAATGGACCTCCACTGAAGTCACCCAATCAATCTCCATTCATGTTGCCCAATGGATGTCCTTTGAAGTCACCAAACGGACCTCCATTAGCATCACCCAATGGACCTCCAATTATGTTGTCCAATGGACCTCCATTGGAGTCACCCAATCAATATCCACCAAGGCCAGCTTTGTAGCTCTCCGTCTTTCTATGATCCAAGCCCGGAAAATTGTATTATCATTATTATTTTTGGATCACAATAGCTATGGCTGGGGAGAAACTTGGGAGCTGAAGTCCAGAACAAGCCAGTTTCCATAACTCTTCCACCCGGTCTCTTTGTATGGCGTTTCTGATGATCCCGCCATGTCCCATTAAATCCATCAAGCGAGAGTGAGGCCGAAACTACGAGCTTTGGATGGCTCCCTGGTGACTCCTTTGCATTTTGGACCCATTAAACTGGTCCGCCCCAGGAGGCTTATGGATCCGGATGGATTCCTGACGGCTCTTGGGGAATTTCCCGCCACCTCGGTTGGTGATCCTGTTGATGCTCTGGTCGCTCTCTGGAATGGGGAGATGACTAGGGCAATAGACACGATCGCTCCAGAACGTCCCCTCTCAAGTAGCCGAGCTAAACCAGCTCCTTGGTTCACCGAGGAGCTGGCAGCGTTGAAGCGAAAGAAGAGGGAACTAGAGAGCGTGTGGCGTTCGGATCCGAGCGAGCCAAATCGAACACGGTTTGTGTCCTTTTTAAGGGCATATGCCGCGGCAATAAAAGCCGCAAAGAAGACTTTCTTCGCGGCCACTATTGCGTCTGCAAAGAACCGTCCGGCCGAACTGTTCCGAGTTGTCAGAGGCCTATTAAAACCCGCCACTCAGGATGGGTGCCCTGATGACTCGGCAGCTCGCTGCGAAGCCTTTGCTCGGTTCTTCGCAGACAAAGTCGCTAGATGAAGCTCTCTGTCCCTTCTGGCAGTGGGTGGTCATTTGTGTAGATGTTGAACATGGATGGGGCAAGCACGCTCCCCTGAGGCAGGCCGTTCTTATGTCTCCGCCATCTGCTTCTCTGGCCCTGGAACTCAACAAAAAAGCTCCTGTTTTGTAACAGGTTTCCTATGAGGCGGGATTGTTATGATTGTTATGAAGTAGCAACAAAAACAATGTTATGGTTGGGGGTCACCACAACATGAGGGACTGCATTAAGGGGTCACGGCATTAGGCAGTTTGAGAACCACTGCTCTAAGGAGGAAGAGAAAATAGGGAATAAATAAATAAAATAAATAAATAATTGCAGGCGAAATGTCAGGAGAGAATGCTTCTGGAGCATGGTCAGACAGCTCGAAAAACGTACAGCAACGCAATGATTTGGACCATGAAAGCCTTCGATAATACATCGATGGGAACCTTTGGAGGGTGCTGTGTTGTGGAGGCCTGGATCCAGCTGTCATTTCTATCACAAAACACTTGCACTCCCCAATTTATCAAAAGTTGCAGATGTGGATCCACCAGAAAGGACCACGGTATCCTTCTGGGACGCCTCGCGGGGATGGGTCTTGGAGGTACTGTTCTGCAGTGGCTCCGCTCATTCCTCGAGGGTCGGTCTCAGAAGGTGTTATTGGGAGACTCCTGTTCAACCCCACAACCTTTGTCTTGTGGGGTTCCTCAGGGTTCAATACTGTCTCCCATGTTGTTTAACATCTACATGAAGCCGCTGGGCGAGATCATCCGGAGTTTCGGAGTGCGATGTCATCTGTACGCAGATGATGTTCAACTCTGTCACTCCTTTCCACCTGCTACTAAGGAGGCTGTCGAGGTCCTGAACTGGTGCTTGGCCGCTGTGACGATCTGGATGGGGGCGAACAAATTGAAATTGAATCCAGACAAGACTGAGGTACTCCTGGTTAGTCGCAAGGCCGAACAGGGTATAGGGTTACAGCCTGTGTTAGACGGGGTCGCACTCCCCCTGAAGACGCAGGTTCGCAGTTTGGGTGTGATCCTGGACTCATCGCTGAGCCTGGAACCCCAGGTTTCGGCGATGACCAGGGGAGCATTCGCACAGTTAAAACTTGTGCGCCAACTGCGCCCGTACCTTGGGAAGTCTGACTTGGCCATGGTAGTCCACGCTCTGGTTACATCCCGCCTTGACTACTGCAACGCTCTCTACGTGGGGTTGCCTTTGAAGACAGCCCGGAAGCTCCAATTAGTCCAACGGGCGGCAGCCATGATACTAACAGGGCCGGGCGCAGGGAGCATACAACTCCTCTGCTGCACCAGCTCCACTGGCTGCCGATATGCTACCGGGCCCAATTCAAAGTGCTGGCGCTGGCCTTTAAAGCCCTAAACGGTTCTGGCCCAACTTATCTATCCGAACGTATCTCAGCCTATCAGCCCACCAGGACCCTAAGATCTTCTGGGGAGGCCCTGCTCTCTATCCCGCCTGCTTCACAGGTGCGGCTGGCGGGAACGAGAGACAGGGCCTTTTCTGTGGTGGCCCCTCGGCTTTGGAACGCCCTCCCCATAGAGGTACGATCAGCCCCCTCGCTGATGGTGTTTCGGAATAGATTGAAGACATGGATGTTTAAACAAGCATTCGGTTAATCCGTTGCAACGAATTTTGATGACTAAAGGATTGGTAATCATGGACGATGAATTTTGGATTGCGATTCCAGTTACGAGATGCATGGGATTGTTATTGGTGGCCCAATAATTTGTATTGTATATGTGTTTTATGCTTTTAAACTGAATATTGTTTTTTAAGTGTTGTAAACCGCAATGAGTCGCCGACTTAGGCTGAGATATTAGCGGTATACAAGCGCATTAATAAATAATAAATAAATTTTCTAGCCCAACGGTAAGGATTGTGGGTTTGATGGGAGGAGGACAACAGCTGAAATCATAGGTCAAACATCTGAAAAAGGCGACGCAACTCAACTTGGGCAACCCCACGGACTCCCATCAATGGCAATGAGCTGTGAAAAAGCACACTGAAACCTAAAACCGGCATTTCGCAGCTGGCTTCCTCTCCCGTTCTCCGAGAAGAAAGATATCCCGTTCCCCAAAAGGAGAAGGAGGGAAAAACCTAATGAAGACAAGAGGGAACCCAAGTCATGGGGCCTCCAGCTGGTTGGAAGGGTGTTGTGATTGATGGTGGGACCAACTCCAACATCTGCACGAAAGCAAGGGCAAAAGAGAAGGCCTGGAAGCTTCTCCAAGGGAGGAGATGTCTTGCAGGGATTCACGTTCGCCTCTGAGAGTCGCAAATATACTAAAACACTAAAAAGGAAGAGGACAGACGGAGAGATTTTCAGTCTTCTCTGCCAAAAGAGTTCCTGTGACTATTAGAAATATGTGTTTTTTGATGATCTTTGGTGACTCTTCTGAAACCACCTCGCGACCTCACTGCAATTGCAATAGACAACGAAAAACTGGAATAACTCCGCAGCTCAAGCGAATCTGGCCTTTGCGCAGGTATGTGGCCGGCGGGGCTTTGCAGCACAGGCATTCAAAGTCGCCCAGGTGTGCGCAGCCCTTGAGCAAACATACCAATCCGGTTGGGTATGCGCCTGCACATCTGGAGGGCAGCTGGGAGGACAAAGGCGGGATTCAGAGCAGGAGAGGGACGCTCCGCGGTGAAGAAGAAACAGGAAGTGCTCCGAAACCTTTGCCCTGTTCCCTCCGATCCTTCCTCTCTCCTTGCAGTAAAGCAATACAGGAAAGCATGCGCGGTTTCTGAGCTGTATGGCCAGTGGGTTCTAGCAGCATTTTCTCCTGACGTTTCGCCTGCATCTGTGGCTACTGGCATCTTCAGAAGTTCTGAAGTTGCCCAAGGGACTTCCATTAACATCACCCAAGGGACCTCCATTAATGTCACCCAAGGGACTTCCAGTAACATCACCCAATGGATCTCCATTAACGTCAACAGACATCTATTAACATCACCCAATAGACCTCTATTAACGTCACCCAACGAACCTCCATTAACATAACCCAACAAACCTACATTAATGTCACCAACGGATCTCCATTAGCATCACACAATGGACGTCCATGAACATCATCCAAGGGACCTCCATTACTGTCACCCAATGGACCTCCATTAACACCACCCAACGGACCTCCATTAATGTCACCCAATGGACCTCCAGTAACATCACCAAACCAACCTCCACTAACGTCACCCAATGCATCTCCATTAACGTCAACAGACATCCATTAACATCACCCAATAGACCTCTATTAACGTCACCCAATGGACCTCCATTAACATCACCCAACAGACCTCCATTAACATAACCCAATAAACCTCCATTAATGTCACCAACGGATCTCCATTAGCATCACACAACGGATGTCCATTAACATCACCCAAGGGATCTCCATTACTGTCACCCAATGGACCTCCATTAACACCACCCAACGGACCTCCATTACCATCACCCAACGGACCTCAATTAACATCACCCAACAAACCTCCATTAATGTCACACAACGTTACTCTCCATTAACACCACCCAACAGACCTCCATTAATGTTACCCAAGATACCTCCGTTAACGTTACTCAACAGATCTCCATTAACATCACCCAACAGACCTCCATTCATGTCAACCAATTGACCCTGTAACATCACCCAGTGGACCTCCATTAACATCACCCAACGGACCTTCATTAACATCACCCAAGGGATCTTCATTAACGTCACTCAACGTTACTCTCCATTAACACCACCCAACAGACCTCCAACATCATCCAACGGAGCTTCATTAATATTACACAACATACCTCCGCTAATGTTACTCAACAGACCTCCATTAACATCACCCAACGGACCTCCATTAATGTCACCCAACAGGCCTCCATTAACATCACCCAAGGGACCTTCATTAACATCACCCAACGGACCTCCATTAACGTCACCCAACAGGCCTCCATTAATCTCACTCAATGGACCTCCATTAACGTCACCCAACAGGCCTCCATTAATGTCACTCAACGGACCTCCATTAATGCCACCCAACGGACTTCCATTGACATCATTCAACGGACCTCCGTTGAAGTTGCTCAACGGATCTTCTGAAGATGCCTTTAGCCACAGATGCAAGTGAAACATCGGGAAAAAATGCTACTAGAACACGGCCATACAGCCCGGAAACCACACAACACCCCTACTTCTGTATTGTTTTATATTGTATGAGAAGAGCCTGCAAGTCTAGGGGAGGTGTGGGCAAACATGAGTCCTCGGGGTGCTTTGGACTCCAACTCCCACTGTCCCTAACACTGTTAGGAATGGTGGGAGTTGGGAGTCCAAAACACCCCGAGGGCCCATGTTTGCCCATGCCTGGTCTAGGGCCAGTAATAGTAGTTATAGTGACCAATGATGTCATACAGCATGCACCTGGGCCTCAAGGTTACTGCTGTTTCCCGATAGAAACATTGAACACGATTGTTTCCTCAAACCCTCCCTTCTGAATGAAGTAAAAAGCCTGGCGAGAAGAGGAGAACGAGCAGCCGTTCTCGGTGCCGAAAGACAGCTGGGTCCAATCTGCAGAAAGAGGGAGGGAGACCCCTGGCAGCCCAAGCTGTGGCGAATTATTGCGCCCGTCCTTTCCTTCCGAGGAGGGGGTCTTACGCCTGAGCCAAGGGCAATAAAGGCACTTCAAAGGCCTTCCGAACCCCCTCCTCCTCGGAGTCAGAGTCGCAGGTCGGCCTGCACCAGGGCTGAATCCAGATCCAGATGGGGAGAACAGACGGGGAAGGAGGTGGGGGAGTGAGGAGGGGGCTCCAAAGGAACAGGACACACATATGGCTCGCTCTCCTTTGTTTCAAGCAATGGAGGGGAAAACCATCGAAGAATTTCATGTCTGGAATCGCTGGGTTGCTGTGTGTTTTCCATGTTCTGGAAGCATTCTCTCCTGACGTTTCGCCTACATCTATGACAAGTATCCTCAAAGGTTGTGAGGTCTATTGGAAGCATACAGACATATTTGTGTATGTGTGTGTGTACGAAATGTTGAGCAAAGCAAGTGCAAAGAGATGAAGGGAGGCCATTTTATTTTGGGCCTTCCCCGTTTTAGAAGGTTTCCAATGTAGTCTGAAAGGCATCTCCGGATGGGACCTTATCATTCCCTCGAAACGGACCCTCCCGAACAGAGGAGGACCTTCAAAGCAAGGCACGAAAAGGGGGAAACCATGCACCCCGCGGAGGCCTGGAGCCAAAAGGACATTCTTTCCAAACAAAGGCTGATGAAGACAATGAGAATGCAACGGAGGGGCCTGTCTCGCATTACTTCGCAGGAGGAACTAATCAAAGCCCAACAGAAGGGGTCCTTCAATTGAAACCAGGGGAAGGAGCGCGGTGGCCTTGATGACGATGGAATTCCCCCCTTGGTTGCCCATCTGGCCAATGGCCGTCACGCTTCATTGTCACGCATCGGCTTCAGGGCGGCCTTCCTGCTTGCGCTTCGCTCCCTTCCAAACAATCCGGCATCCCACAATTGCATCCTTTTCGAGGGATGGACAGTATGTTAAGTGGGTTGCTGTGAGATTTCCAGGCTGTCTGGCCATGTTCCAGACATGAAACCATCAGGACCAACTAACACCTCCCAACAAAGGATTCCCTGAGGAAGGAAGCAGCCAGGCTTTGCAGTTGCAAGACCATTCAATGCTACTCAAGGGTTATTTCTCCCACCCTGGACATTATATATATAAACTTCACTTTCCCAGTTTCCAACAGACCTCACAACCTCTGCCATAGATGTGGGCAAAATGTCAGGAGAGAATGCTTCTAGAACATGGCCCAGAAAACTCACAGCAACCCAGGGATTCTGACCATGAAAGCCTTCGACAGCACAGTAGATAAGTGTGTTCAGTCCAACAGCTTTTGCTGGGCTTTTGCTGAGCATTCATCAAGCTAAAGGAAAGATATTCGCAATTGTGGGCCTGAAATCATCTCCCAACCACCTTCTCAAGACATATCAACCTATTATTGCTTTTGTAAACCAGTAAATAAAGTAAATAAGTACACTATAAAATTATGAAAATGTGAGTCAAGCACTGAAAGGGTTAAATGAATGCAACGACTCAACAAAAGCTGAATATCTATATAAGCAGGTATGCCTGTAGCTTAGTAGCAATCAGTTTGAGGTAAACCTCAGTGGGAAAAAGGTCTTAGGCTGTGAGAAGGCATCACAGTGTGAGGTAGATCTTAGTCTGTGAGAAGGCCTCACACTATGACGTAGGCCTTAATCTACGAGAAGTGTAAGTAAGTAGGCCTTAGTCTGTGAGGAGGCCTCACAGTGTGAGGTAGGCCTTAATCTGTGAGAAGGCCTCACAATATGAGGTAGGCCTTAGTCTGTGAGAAGCCCTCACAGTATGAGTAGGCCTTAGTCTATGAGAAGGCTTCACAATATGAGGTAGGCCTTAGTCTGTGAGAAGCCCTCACAGTATGAGTAGGCCTTAGTCTGTGAGAAGGCCTCACAGTGTGAGGTAGGCCTTAGTCTCTGAGAAGGTCTCACAGTGTGAGTAGGCCTTAGTCTGTGAGAAGGCCTCACAGTGTGAGGTAGGCCTTAGTCTCTGAGAAGCTCTCACAGTGTGAGTAGGCCTTAGTCTGTGAGAAGGCCTCACAGTGTGAGGTAGGCCTTAGTCTGTGAGGTGTAAGTAGCCTTAGTCTATGAGGAGGTCTCACAGTATGAGGTAGGCATTTGTCTGTGAGAAGGCTCACGGTGTGAAGTAGTCTGTGAGAAGCCCTCACAGTGTGAGTAGGCCTTAGTCTGTGAGGTCTCACAGTGTGAGGTAGGCCTTAGCCTGTGAGAAGCCCTCACAGTATGAATAGGCCTTAGTCTGTGAGAAGCCCTCACAGTGTGAGTAGGCCTTAGTCTGTGAGAAGGCCTCACAGTGTGAGGTAGGTCTTGGTCTGTGTGAAAGATGACCCCCTTCCCAACCCAGAGAGAGAGAAAGCATAAGAGACGTGGACCTACAAGTCTCTGTACTGGTCGAAGGCGTTGTTCGCTTCCACCTCCAGCTTCCGCAGGCGGGCCGAGGGCATGGCGCCGTCTTCCAGGGGCGGGTCATATTTGTTGCTCCATGGGGATCTGCAAAAGAGGGAAGCATCCGGACGCTAAGCATTGCATGACATCAGGCCTGGGCCAACTTCAGCCTTCAACTCCCACCATTCCTAACATGCCTGATCTATAGCCGTCTATCTGGATCTCCTGACTTGACTTTCTCCATCTCTGGATCACTTTTTTCACTGGATTTCACACTTTCTGCCCCCCGCCCCCTCAAAAGGACCCCATTTGGCACATATTGGTGCCTTAGCCCTTTAAGAAGCAGAATAAAAACGGGTAATTTAACCTGTGGAGAGAAAAAAAATCATCTTTCTATGGAGACAGGTACTAGAAACGCGTTGAAGGAATCACTTTGTTCACTGGATTTCACACTTTCTCTGCCCCCCCCCCCCCACCCACCCAAAAGGGCCCCATTTGACACATATTTGTGCCTCGGCCCTTTAAGTAACAGAATACAAACGGGTAATTTAACCCTTGGAGAGAAAAAAATACATCTTTATGTGCAGACAGGTACTGGAAACCTGTTGAAGGGCTTTGGGAGAAGGAAGGCAGCTGGGTTGGGGTCCTCACTGGCCCATTTCGGCTGTAACGTCACGGGTTTCAAAGTGTTGCTGGCACCGACTTCACCCCATAAGGATCCCATTTAAGGAACGGCAAAGAGAGGAGCGCTGGCGGGGGGGGGGGGGGGGGTCCTAAATGGATGCTGGTGTGTGTGTTTTAAAGGCTCTCCAGATGTCCCGGCTATTGACGTCTCCCAGATGTTGAGAGCTAATTGGCCCCCTCCTCCTCCTCCTCCACCACCAGCTGTTGGGGCGCTCCTCACCCCAAAGGCAGGCTTTGTTCCCAGATGGCCAGAAAGGGAAGGGACGGCTGGCTGAGATCAAGGGCAAGATAAGGGAACCAAATGTCTCCCTGGCCCCTCAAGGGGATGAGATAGAAAAAGGAAGGAAAGAAAAGAGGAAGGAAGGGAAAAGAAAAGGGAGGGAGAGAGGGAGGGAAGAAAGGAAGGAAGGGAGATTGAAAGGAAGAAAAACAAAAGGAAGAGAAAGGAAAGAAAAGGAGGAAGGGAGAGAGGGAGGAAGAAGGAAAGGAAGGGAAGGAAATGAAAAGAAAGGCAAGGTGAAGGAAGGAAGGAGGGAGGGAGGGAGGGAAAAAATGAAGGAAAAGAAGAAAGACGGGGAAGGGAGAGACGGAGGGAAGGAAAGGAAAGAGGGATGTTGGGAGGAAGAGAAAAGGAAGGGAAGGGAAGAGGGAGGAAGAAAGGGAGGGAGGTAAAGGCAAGAGGGAGATTGGAAGGGAGAAAGGAAGGAAAGTGAAGGGAAAGAAAAGGGAAATAAAAGGAGGAAGGAAGGAGGGAGGATTGAAACAGAGGAAAGAAAGAAGGGGAAGGGGAAGAGGAAGGGAAAGGAAAGGGGGCGAAGGAAGAGAAATGAAGGAAGGGAAAGGAAAAGAAAAAAGAAGGGGAAGGGAGGGAGGAAAGGAAAGAGGGAGGTTAGAAGGGAGAGAAAAGGAAGGGAAGGAAAGGGGGAGGAAGGAAGAAAAATGAAGGAGGGGAAAGGAAAAGAAAAAAGGGGTAGGGAGGGAAGGGAAGGAAAGGGGGAGGTTAGAAGGAAGAGAAAAGGGAAGGGAAGGAGGGAAAGTGAAGGGAAAGAAAAGGAAAATAAGAGGACGAAAGAAGGCAGATTGAAAGAAGGGGAAGGAGGATTGAAAAAGAGAAAGGAGGGAAGGGGAAGGAAAGGAAAGGGGGAGGAAGGAAGAGATATGAAGGAAGGGAAAGGAAAAGAAAAAAGAAGGGGAAGGGAAGGAAGGAGGGAAGGAAAGGAAAGAGGGGGGTTAGAAGGAAGAGACAAGGAAGGGAAGGGAAGAGGGAGGACGAAAGGGAGGGAGGTAAAGGTATACTGTGTACTGTATATTCTGTTGTAAACCACGTTGAGTCGCCAATTAGGCTGAGAAACGGCGGTATACAAGGACAGTAAATAAATAAATAAATAAATAAATAAATAAAGGTAGGAGGGAGATTGGAAGGTAGAGAAAGGAAGGAAGGAAAGTGAAGGGAAAGAAAGGGAAATAAAAGGAGGGAGGGAGACAGATAGGAGGGGAAGGAGGATTGAAAAGGAGGGGGAAGGGGAAGGAAAGGAAAGGGGGAGGAAGGGAGAGAAATGAAGGAAGGGAAAGGAAAAGAAAAAAGAAGGGGAAGGGAAGGAAGGAGGGAAGGAAAGGAAAGAGGGGGGTTAGAAGGAAGAGACAAGGAAGGGAAGGGAAGAGGGAGGACGAAAGGGAGGGAGGTTGGAAGGAAGAGTAAAGGAAGGGAAGGGAAAGGAAGGAAGGAAAGTGAAGGGAAAGAAAAGGGAAATAAAAAGAGGAAGGAAAGAAGGAAGGAGGATTGAAAGAGAGGAAAGAAGGATAGGGAAGGGGAAGAGGAAGGGAAAGGAAAGGGGAGGAAGGAAGAGAAATGAAGGAAGGAAAAGAAAAAGGAGGGAGGGGGATAGAGGGAAGGGAGGGAGGGAAGAAAGGAAAGGGGGAGGTTAGAAGGAAGAGAAAGGGAAGTTTAAGGGAAGGAGGGGAAGGAGGAAGGGAGGGAAGGAAGGATGTAGAAAAGAAGTGATGGAGGTTGAAAGGAAGAGAAAGGAAAGAGGGAGGGGGAGAAAGGCAAGGAAAGGGGAAGTCAGGATGGGAGGGCGGGCAGGCGAGTCACCTGTACGAGTCTCCATCTCTGTTGTAGTCGCAGAGTAAGTAGTCCTTCCCCACCACTTTGTCGCGGGCGATCTTCAAGGGCTGGTCGACGGAGGACAGGAGATCTTCGCAGAGGCTGGGGACCTGAGGAAGAGGGAAAAAGACACAGGCGGAGGTCAGGCCAAAGGGGCTCCCCCACTTTTGGAAACGCACCCCAGCTTAGAGTCAATGGCGGGGCCCAGAACGGGACACAGTGTGATTCCAGGTGTGGTTGACCAAGGCAGAATAGTTTGTGTTTGAGCAGACGCTCAAGAGGTCAATAAATCCACCTTGGTTATGGGCCCAGCAGCGTGTGCCTGCGCTCTAAGCCAATTCGGGCCCCATTATCGCGGCCGCGAGTGTGGTCTCGTAAAGCGAAACGCACGCACGAGAGGGAGGAACGCAGCCAAACCGAGGCCTGTAAAGCAATGGCTGGGGGCAGGAAGAAAAAAAAGAGTTTGAGAAAGCGGTAAATATTTATAATGGAGTGGAAATCCAAGAGAATAAGCCGCCCGCGAACGGCAGCTTAATTTTTTCCACTCGCTCATGCTCTGGGTGGGGTTTCATATACTTTCCAGGAAAGCGGCCAAGCATTACCATGCTAGTTAACTTTGAGAAAATACATTTCCGGGACACGTGTCGGGTTTCTGAAAACAAAAGGTGGGGCGAGGAACACCATTTTGGCCACACGTTGGATGCTTGCGGCCCCCCAAAATCCAAGTTCCATTGCAGTAAAGTGTCCCTTAGGTAAAAGTTTAGTATTTTTCGGATTTCGAAAGATACTGGGTTGTTGTAGGTTTTTTCGGGCTGTCTGACCACGTTCTAGAAGCATTCTCTCCTGATGTTTCACCCACATCCATGGCAGGCATCCTCAGAGGTTGTGAGTCTGCTGGAAACTAGGAAAATTGTTTGTTACTGCCTGGGGGAATCCTTTGTTGAGTGGTGATTACCTGTCCCTGATTGTTTCTTGTCCAGGCGTCCCAGGGAGGCCAAATCTGCATTTCTTCAAACCGCGGATATGGAAACCCCTCGGGAACATTACATTTTTCTTTATATTTATATAGATATAATAACATCTAGTCCAGTGTCCAAGCCATGCCAGGGCTTCAGTTTCGCCCTCTTCCGGCCCGCAGAAAGTGCCCTAATTTACTCAATTATGTTGAAAGCCCTCCTCCGCGGCCCGTTCCCACCGCAATGTTCTCCGCTCCCCCCCCTTCCATGCGGCTGCCCGCCGAGCCTTCCCAATAATTGGTAATTAGAGTCCATGCCAAGGCCGATTGCCGGCACCCGCGGCCGGGCGCCTTTCAGGGAGGCCCCTGACTGACAAGGGCTCTAATGAGCGGTAATTACGGCCCCCGAAAAAGCGGCCGCAGATGTGGTGAGGCACGCCACCCCTCCACTAATGAATGACCGAAGAAGCGCTCAGTGACCCCGAAAGGGCCTCCCCCCGCTCATTGGGAATGTTGGAGACTCGCTTCCACGTTCAAGTTGGGCATGGGTGCAGGGGCGGCGCAACCATTACGCAAAGTAAGCACTTGCGGTATAGTTGCTTTTGCCCAGGGGTGCTCTTGAGGTGCTCTTGGGGGGAAATAGACCTTGACATATGTGAGTTGTAGTTACTGGGATGTATAGTTCACCTACAATGATCCAAATATGGCACACAGAACTCCCACGATGAACAGAAAATATATATCAGTGAATGGTTGGGGGGGGGGCACCAAAATACTGTTTGCTTACCGTCGAAAATTACCTAGGGCCTCCTCTGCCCACAGGACAGTGAGGGGCCTTCTCCCGATAGTGCTCGAGAGGGGATCGGGTGTTAAGCGGCTTAGGAGAAGCCTCCGCCTTCAGGTTCAACAAGTTCAGGCCCAGCTGCAGGATTTGCGGGGAGAAAACGGCCCTCGAGGGGCCTTCCTTCACCGGCTTCCTCTTCCGCTTCATTTGCCTCCTGTCCACTTTGTCAGGAGCCACGGGCACAACATGCCATCCTTTCCCAAGTTAATTGACAAGGGTCCTCAACCTAGCAACCTACCCAGCCTTTCATGGTGGCAACAACCTACCGGGATGCAATGGTGCAAAGCTAAACCATCTCTGCGTCATTGGACCCACCAAATTTGTACTCACCAAATCAATCAGGTCACTGAGGTTTTTCTCAATCTGTTGGGGAGGCAGACGCCTCATCAAATCCAAGGCACAATCCAGCTGTTGGTCACTCTGAAAGGGAAACATTTAAAAAAAAGACCAGTTACTCCCATGCAACACAGAATGTTTAACATTGACACAAATGACCAGCCACTGCCAGAAGGGACAGAGAGTTTCCTCTACGCTGACGATCCTGTCATCACTACCCAAGCAGAGAGCTTTGAAATGGTTGAACAGAAAGTCTCCCAAGCTTTAAATGCTCTTACTGCCTATTACAGGGAAAATAAGCTTGCTCCATTCATGTTTAACATTTACACATATGATCAGACACTGCCAGGAAGTGAGGAGACTTTCCTCTATGCTGATGATCATGCTATCACCAACCAAACAGGGAGCTTTGAAATGGTGGAACAGAAGCTCTCCGAAGCTTTAGGTGCTCTTACTGCCTGTTACAGAGGAAACAAGCTTGCTCCATCCATGTTTAACATTTACACAAATGACCAGTCATTGCCAGAAGGGACAGAGAGTTTCCTCTATGCTGATGATCCTGCCATCACCACCCAAACAGGGAGCTTTGAAATGGTGGAACAGAAGTTCTCCGAAGCTTTAGGTGTTCTTACTCCCTATTACAGGGAAAACAAGCTTGCTCCATCAATGTTTAACATTTACACATATGATCAGACACTGCCAGGAAGTACAGAGACTTTCCTCTATGCTGACGATTGTGCCATCACCATCCAAACAGGGAGCTTTGAAATGGTGGAACAGAAGCTCTCCGAAGCTTTAAGTGCTCTTACTGCCTATTACAGGGAAAATAAGGTTGCTCCATCAATGTTTAACATTTACACAAATGACCAGTCATTGCCAGAAGGGACAGAGAGTTTCATCTATGCTGATGATCATGCCATCACCGCCCAAGCAGGGAGCTTTTAAAAGCTTGAACAGAAGCTCTCTGAAGCTTTAGGTCCTCTTACTGCCTATCACAGGGAAAACCAGCTTGCTCCATCAATGTTTAACATTTACACAAATGACCAGTCATTGCCAGAAGGGACAGAGAGTTTCCTCTATGCTGATGATCCTGCCATCACCACCCAAACAGGGAGCTTTTAAAAGCTCGAACAGAAGCTATCCAAAGCTTTAGGTGCTCTTACAGCCTATCACAGGGAAAACCAGCTTTCTCCATCAATGTTTAACATTTACACAAATGATCAGGCCACTGCCAGAAGGGACAGAGGGTTTCACCTACGCTGACGATCATGCCATCACCGCTCAAGCAGGGAGCTTTGAAATGGTTGAACAGAAGCTCTCCAAAGCTCTAGGTGCTGTTCCTGCCATTACAGGGAAAATAAACTGATTCCTACCTAATCCATCTAAAACACAGATATATGCTTTCCACCTTAAGATCCACAGACCACCTACTGCAATGCAGCCTGAGCCCAACCACATTCACAATGGAGGAACTTCTCACAGCCACACCAGAGGTACTCCAAGGGGCCAAATACTGGTCAAAGGACATTTAGCATAAGGCCGAGTTTTAAACTTTGTGTTTTCAAATACATTACAACCTTGGTTTGCTTCTGATACGATAAATAAACAAACACAGAATGGGATCGGCACATTGGAAGGGGCCCAAAACCCACACGAAAGAGACAGATAGACACCATTGTCAGGCTTAGAAATGGAAATTGTGAAGGTCTTCCATTCTTGATGTAAATGGAAGCAGAAATAAACAGTTTGTCATGGTTTAGGTGATAAACGAATGAAGTAATTATATGTAAATCGATGGCAATTAAATGGGAAATTATTTTGAATCATTCATGTATGCATGCTTGTGTTTAATCATGACTGAGATGCAGATTTGTGTGGTGATACATTTACCGTATATACTCGAGTATAAGCCGAGTTTTTGGGCCCTTTTCTAGGTGGAAAAGCCCCCCTTAGCTTATACTCAAAGTTATTTATTATTTTACTCTGTTGCTGTTGTTATTATAACTGTTATTATTTTACTCTATTTATTATTGTTGTTATTACATTTATTATTTTACACTATTCATTATTGTTATTATTACATTTATATTACTTTATTCAATGTATTATTATTGATACATTCATTGCTTTACTACTATTATTACATTTATTATTTTACTCTATTATTACTGTTATTATTACATTTATATTACTTTATTCAATTAACTATTATTATTAAGACATTCATTGCTTTACTACTATTATTACATTTATTATTTTACTCTATTATTACTGTTATTACATTTATATTACTTTCTTCAATTAACTGTTATTATTAAGACATTCATTGCTTTACTACTATTATTACATTTATTATTTTACTCTATTCATTATTGTTATTATTACATTTATATTACTTTATTCAATTAACTATTATTATTAATACATTCATTGCTTTACTACTATTATTACATTTATTATTTTACTCTATTATTACTGTTATTATTATTGTTATGACTACATTTATTATTTTACTCTATTTATTACTGTTATTATTACATTTATATTACTTTATTCAATTAACTATTATTATTAATACATTCATTGCTTTACTATTATTATTACTATTACTATTATTATTGCATTTATTATTTTACTCTATTATTATTGTTATTATTACATTTACATTATTTTACTCGTAGCTTAAGGCCTTCAACCTGGAGTTTCTCTCACCAGGCCTTCTTAAACCCAGGCCTACTAACACACTGAGGCCTCTCTCAAATTGAGACCTTTCTCCCACTGAGGCGTAGCTCACACTGAGACCTCTCTCACTGAGGTCTGCTTACACTGAGGGCTTTCTCAGACTGACACCTCTCATGCCCAGCTTACTTCCATCTCATAGCTTAAGATCCACCGGGGAGGCCCTGCTCTCGGTTCCACCGGCCTCGCAAACGCGTCTGGTGGGGACGAGGGACAGGGCCTTTTCGGTGGTTACCCCCACTTATGGAATTCGCTCCCCAGCGAGATTAGATTGGCGTCCTCCCTCCTTTCCTTTAGGAAAAAAACTGAAATTGTGGTTTTGGAACCAGATATTATTTTATCTATTATTACTGTTGTTATTATCTCCATTTTACTCTATTATTTTTATTACATTTATTATTTTACCTTATTATTATTATTATTATTATTATTATTATTATTATTATTATTAAAGGGACATAGTGTTATTGATAAGACCACGACACTTTCCTCTCTTATACGAGTCTCAAAGTAGCCCCCAATACTAAAAATAATACAACTCGCAACTCAAAATCTACCACATATTAACATCAGAATGCATTTAAGCACAGAATTGTCAAAAATAATTAATTATAATCATATGATGTTGGAAAAACATTAGCTTTGGCCCAGAAGAGGCAGAGCGCACTGCGGGGAGTCAGAGTGGAATTTGTGTGTGTTTTGCTCTCTCAGAGTACATACAGCCGCCAAAGAAGAGACTTCTCCCCTCTAAGTAAGGAAATGGCACACGATCCAAGGCTAGGGCAGGCGCCGAGCGCTCCCAATGCGAGCCCCGAGCAAACAGCGTCAGTGCTTCCTCCTCCAAAAATGCCAGCCACGCAGGGAGCCTGGGAACCGATGCTTCGGTGTGAATTCCTCCCCGGTCAATGCAAGCAAAAGGCACAGAGAAGGTGCCAATGCAGCAGAGACAGCGGCCCTTAAATTAAGACAGTACCTTTCTACACACAGTTCACACAGTACCTTTCTACACACAGCAGACTTCACACACGAGGCCTTCAACCTGGAGCTTCTCTCACCAGGACTTATCAAACCGAGGCCTACTAACACACTGAGGCCTCTCTCAAATTGAGACCTTTCTCCCACTGAGGCGTAGCTCACACTGAGACCTCTCTCACTGAGGTCTGCTAACACCGAGGGCTTTCTCAGACTGACACCTCTGATACAGTCAGGCGAACTAACACAGAAACCTACCTCATATTGAGGCTTCTCTCACTGAGGTCTGCTAACACTGCGGGCTTTCTCAGACTGACACCTCTCATACACTGAGGCTAACTAACACTGAGACCTCTCTCACTGAGGTCTGCTAACACCGAGGGCTTTCTCAGACTGACACCTGTCATACACTGAGGCTAACTAACACAGAGACCTGCATCATATTGAGGCTTCTCTCACTGAGGTCTGCTAACACTGCGGGCTTTCTCAGACTGACACCTCTCATACACTGAGGCTAAGTAACACTGAGGCCTCTCTCACTGAGGTCTGCTAACACCGAGGGCTTTCTCAGACTGACACCACTCATACACTGAGGCTAACTAACACTGAGACCTCTCTCACTGAGGTCTGCTAACACTGAAGGCTTTCTCAGACTGACACCTCTCATGCCCAGCTTACTTCCACCTCATAGCTAAAGATCCACCGGGGAGGCCCTGCTCTCGGTCCCACCAGCCTCACAAACGCGTCTGATGGGGACGAGGGACAGGGCCTTCTCGGTGGTTATCCCCCGCTTATGGAATTCGCTCCCCAGCAAGATTAGATCGGCGTCCTCCCTCCTTTCCTTTAGGAAAAAAACTGAAATTGTGGTTTTGGAACCAGGCTTTTGACTAGCACTTTGTACACTGAACTGGACCATGTCATTGTTATGATAATGGAAACGGCTATGTGATTGTATAATTAATGTGATTGTTTTTAATCTATTGAGCATTTACGGTTTTATATTGTTGTTATATTGTGATATTGCGGCATCGAATTGTTGCCAGTGTTAGCCGCTCTCTGTCCCCCTCAGGGGTTGAGAAGGGCGGGGTAGAAATGTTGTAAATAAATAAATAAATACAGTGAGGCAAACAAACACAGAGGCCTACCTCATACTGAGGCCTCTCTCACTGAGGTCTGCTAACACCAAGGATTCTCTCAGACTGACACCTCTCATACACTGAGGCTAAGTAACACTGAGGCCTCTCTCACTGAGGTCTGCTAACACCAAGGATTCTCTCAGAGTGACACCTAGCATACACTGAGGCAAACTAATACTAAGACCTACCTCATACTGAGGCCTCTCTCACTGAGGTCTGCTAACACTGAGGCTTTCT